CTAACCCTAACCCTAACCCTAACCCTAACCCTAACCCTAACCTAACCCTAACCCTAACCCTAACCCTAACCCTAACCCTAACCCTAACCCTAACCTAACCCTATAACCCTACCTAACCCTAATAGCTAGAAGTTAGCTAAAAGTAATATAAGTATAAGGTAATTTCTTTTTATTATAATAAAGTATATTAATTATAATAAAACTAGCTTTATAAGTAAAATACTAAATAAGTATTTATTATTAAATTAATATACTTAAGAAATAAGTCCTTAAATTATATACTTTTAGTATACTTACTTATAAAAGAAGTTAGGGTTTAATATAGGTTTATACTAGGCTTATATTAAGCTTATTATATACTAGTATATATAACTTTTATAACTACTACTTAAGCTTATAATAGGCCTAGTTCCTAGCTAATTAAAGCGCAGGCATAGCTTAAGTCCTTTATAGCTATAGCTTATAACTAGTTTTTATTATATTATAAAATAAATTTTTAATATAAAAAGTATAAATATACTATAATACTATTATAAGGTTTTTAATATTTTATATAACTTTAAAGCTTTAGGACTTTAATTAATTAAAAAAAAAGTTTTATTTTTTAATTTTATATATTAATTACTAATTTAAAAAAAAAAGTAAGGCTATATAATAAAGCTATAGCTTATAACTAACTTTTATTATAAATACTTTTACTTTTACTTTTATTATTACTTTTATTATTATTTTTATTATTATTTTTATTATTATTTTTATTATTATTTTTACTATTACTTTTACTATTATTACTATTACTTTTACTTTTACTTTTACTTTTACTTTTATTACTACTTTTACTATTACTTTTACTTTTACTTTTATTACTACTTTTACTATTACCTTTACTATTACTACTACTACTACTACTACTACTACTACTACTACTACTACTACTACTACTACTACTACTACTACTACTACTATTACTACTACTACTACTACTACTACTATAACTACTTTTACTTTAGTATAAGTCCTTAGTTACAGTTTAAAAAAGACTACTTTATATTATACCCTATCTCTTATAGCTGTCCAGTATATATTAGCCCCCTTTACACCTGCTAAAGGGTTACCTTCCCCCTCTGTAGCATTACCATACTGCTCGCTAAAGCCGCATTTACAGTAGAATCCATCTTTGCCAAATGCACTAATCACTGACGCATAAACACCATCAGCCTCAGCCCTTTCAAGTCCCCATTGTACAAGCTTCCGGCCTACTCCTGTTCCTTGAGACTCTGGCATTACTGCTAGAACGTCAAGAAACCACGATTCAGCACGCTTATCAGACCAAATGGTATGAAAGTAAGGGTATGACCGTTCTATAATATCCTCTGTCATAGGATCGCTTGCGCGATTAGGCCAAAGCCAAGCGTGGATCATCATAGCAAAGGAAAAGAAGGGCTTGAGCAGGTCACCTATGTAAGTTTCTTTAGTAGCCAAGCTCGTAATAACAGGACACCAAACCAATACTCACGAAGATACCAGTACGAGCTTTCTCGCTTCCCTCCGTCTTCTCCTAATCTTGCCCATTGAGCAATTCCAACAATACGCTCATGGCCGGTGTTATCCTTTTCGACCGCAACGATAAATCGCCAGCGGGAATCCCAAAAGCTGACTCGTGCTCTCCGTAACCAGTATAAGTCTACGTCGTCTGGATACTGGTTTCGTTTCGGGTGTATAATGTCGCCGAAGAGGTTGTCATCCCAAAAAGCCCGTGCCATAACGTGAGCAACCTCTGACAACTCCGAATAGCAGGCATTGCGTAGTACAGTATGAGACATAGTGCCCTGATGGCGAGCGACTGAACACTGGTAGGATATGGTTTAGCAAGCAGAGGAGACGGCCAACCGTATTTATAAGGAGACAACCTTGGCTGTGAGAATGGTACTAGAGCGGGCATAGAGTAGGCAGAACGTCAGAGTACTATAAATGCCAATTATACAATAACACATTATTCGAGTTATGCCACAGATGTCGGAGAGTATATGTAGGTATATGGCTGGGCCTAACTGCTTCCGCTCACGCATCCATACCTAACAAACTGAGTGAGTGTGTTATATCCTTGTTTGCGATGACAATTACGCCAAGAAGTAATCACAGGCTACTAGCAGACAACATCTCACCCCTCGCAGGTAGACAACCCAAGCTAGCTGTTTAAGGAGCACTGTATACAGATCATACAGCAATCATTGCGAATCCGTCGAGGATAATCTACAATTGCAACACGCAGATTCCCCGCTATCCTACAACCCCTCGGAATTCCTTCCCTTTCGCTCAAGTATTAACCGTAGCATCCTCTGCTGTTGGTCCTGGTTAGAAAGGGTGTCATAACCTCGTTAGATGAAGTTGTTAGTCGGTCGCAAAGATTGGTGGTCTATATCGTGATATTATTGGTCCGGGGCATCTATGCCCTCGTCGCCGTCTTCTGCAGTGTTACGATTCCAATAATGGTACCATGGGTCCCATGCTTGATGTAACTCAACATCCACCTGGTGGATTGTCTAAAATCCCTCATCTCACGGATGCATTCCGCGACCTCTGCCGAGGAAAAACGATACCTATGCGCAACCTGAACCAGGCCGACCCTCGCATGGCGCACGAGAAACATTTGACACGTTAGGTGCTACCGACTACTATTGGAAGTATCAGAGCAACCGCTCACTGCGAACTTCCAATCGGAACTCCATCTCAATAAATATACCTGGTCTATATCGAGCTGGCACTCGTGGATCGATGATCCTCATGCGTTGCCTTCCAGGCCACCTCGTTCCTGATAATCTTCTCTTGGCTACCAGTTCTGGAGCTGTCCTCTTCGTCTGACATATATGCCAGAAGATTTGCGCTACGACCATGGCCCTCTGCAGCGGGTTGATCCGATAACCGATCTGGCCTCCAGATCTGAGGTCGTCCGCGGGGCTCTCCGTTATGCTTGTCGTGTACCCATATAGAAGTCGATGCTCCTGCAGCCGCGAATGGAACATGTTTGGATCGACTGCTACTGAGTATTTGAAGTGGGTACGCATTGCTGGATCCGTAGTCGCTAGAATCGAATGCCCATGGGAATCCTAGTCCTATAGAAAAGGACTTCAGAAAGTTCTTCATATTCGGCACAGTAGCCGCGATGAGGGACCAAACGATCATGATCTGCTGAAAGATCAGACTGTTTATAATCACGAACTGAGGCTCGCTAGAGGCGGGATATTTGCTGAGATATGTCATATGAATGGCTGAAAGGGCGATGAGCGGTAGGCGGAAGGAGAAGGCTATGGCAACTTGAAGCTTGTGGTGAAGTGACATATTTACAGTCCAGGCTATTTGCACAATAAGAAGCCAGGTGAGGACCTCGGTAAAGATATCAACAGCTGTGATCACAGCCCATCGCATATCCTGGCATGAATTCTCCAGTAAATACTGATAAAAAGCGCTTGAGGGAGTTGCAGCAAACATTCACGTACCTGGCTTGGACATTGCTTAATATTAACAATAGTCAGGAACGAAGCAGCACGGCAGTTGAGTAGAAGTGCTAAGCATGAGCCTACACCCCATCCTGCACTGAGAATTGTGACTCCAATGCAGAATGGTCTGGTCTTTCCCGACTTGGAGTCTATGATCCGCAGGATAAGGGCAAGGACAGAGCATTTGGCCACGCTCAGTGTTAGAAGACAGAGGACAACTGCTGCGAGAGTAGACTGCGATCAGATACATTAGCTACTTCCAGCATTGCTTATGTGTGTACGCTTACTATAGAAGATACTGCCCATTGCTCTGGCGTTGTTATGGAATTAAACTGGCCGAGGCCATTCTTCAGCCCGACAAATAGGGCGGTGGATTGAGCCACATGAAGTATCTGGACATCGGTCAGCCTTCATAGTGGAAGTGTCCGAGATGCAGCGGGCACTCATGCTGTTGCTAAGCCAAGCAAGAGGTCATCAAAGCCGAACATCTGGTGCTTAATGTAAACCCTTGCCATGGCGCCAAGTAAGCTGTAGATCAGTGAGAGTATTGTCACAATCCATAGCTGGCCGGCGTGGTCATTAGACGAAACGCGCGAGAAAGCTTGTGGTTCGTCATTTGATGATTCTAAGTTCATTGTTACGGGAGACCCGGCAGTCCGATCTAGAAGAGAGCAAGGCTTAGTAGAATTGGAGGCAAGGAAGAACAGGAGCGGTAGATGTTCAGAAGGAATCAAGGTCTGCTTGAATACATTTATCTGTTCTTTACCGATCTTCTGATTACAAAGGTTTGTCCGGTCCGACAATAATCAAGAGATATATGTTGTTGGTTTCAGCATATGTTAGACGCGTCAGCATATCAGCATCTTGAGATAGGTAACCTGGTTATTCAACGGCGTATTCTGCCAACACAAAATCACGGAGAGTCAGCCCCCTCAGCTTCAGTCCAGGGCGCAAAGGGGTTTCGAATCTCGATATTTACCCTGTTCGCCCTTGTCAGAGATGCACCAACAGGCATACCTATACCTAATGTATGCCTCGCTGTCGGTCGTATTCGGGCTTTGTATCACGCACGAGCGCGAGAGGATGAGATATGTGCCCTCTTACTGCTTGATCGCCCGGGTTTCGCTCCCGGCGGAATCCCATCCGTGGAGTTGATTGGGGCAACCATGTCAGTTGAAGGCCGTGGCTCGACAAAGAGGCGGAAAAATTGCCTGCGTAACGCTGAGGTATCATGAATACTGTAGAAAGCAGCAGGGGGCTGGGCCATGGCGGACCAACACACCGAACCAGCCCAAATTTGGTGGCTTGGGCCGAAATGCCTGCATTGCATTGTTTATCCGGCACCACTTGTTTACCTTGACATCTCTTCCCATCAGGCCGTTGCAAGTTCCTTTCCCTTCTTTTTTTTTTCCACCGTAATATCGTGTTGAGCGATCTAGTGAGCTGACTTTTGCGAAATTTGTTTCAGAGAAGAAGTATCCAATGTCGTCCGATGGCAAGGAGGCTCAGAATGACGACGTCGTCGCCGTTGACCTAAACGGTGATGGAGACAACAAGGGCGGGAACGCAGCTGATCGCGCGGATATGTACCGTATGGGGAAGATACAGGAATTGAGAGTTCGTGCTGGCGAGTACCGACTTTCTGTTTTGGAGGGTTACTGAGCAAATTTGCTGCAGAGAAACTTTCGATTCCTGTCTATATTTGGCTTTTCCATGATACTCATGGCGTCGTGGGAATTTTCCTTGAGGTACGTTATACAGACAGAAGCGCTCGAGGATTACAGACATGAGGCGACTAATCGGAACTGTCATCCAAAGCGTTGCTACCATTGGCCTTGTAAACGGCGGCACCGCCGGCTTCATCTGGATGTTCTTCGTTTGTTGGATGGGATTTCTCTTGGTGAACACGACAATGGCCGAGATGGCTTCGATGTAAGCAGGCACCACCCCAATATCGAAGCTCCCTGTCATACCCTTCTACAGTCACTGGTGATGATTACTGACACTAAATCTTTATAGGGCACCTACTTCTGGAGGGCAATATCACTGGGTATCGGAATTCGCGCCGCCGCAGCATCAGAAATTTATCAGCTACCTGATGGGGTGGATGTGTGTTCTTGGCTGGCAGACGTCGTGTGCATCTTCTTCATTCATTGCCGGCACTCAGATCCAAGGTCTCGCCATTCTCAACTACCCCGACTATGTCCCAAAACCATGGCACGGTACGCTACTCACCGTGGCTGTTGCCTCCTTCTCGGTCTTCTTCAACACTGTCCTTGCAAGAAAGCTGCCATTGATCGATGCCCTGATTCTCGTCATTCACATCTTTGCCTTCTTTGGCATCTTGGTCACGCTCTGGGTTCTTTCGCCCACGGCAAACGCCAGGGCTGTCTTCACCAACTTCAGCGATGGCGGAGGTTGGGGCAGCTTGGGAGGGTCAACCCTTGTGGGAGTTCTTGCAGGCATCCTGCCACTGCTGGGAGCGGACGCTGCTGTGCACATGTCCGAGGAGCTGCGCGATGCTAGTCGTACACTACCTCGCGCCATGATCTCGACCACTATCTTCAACGGCGCATTCGGATGGATCATGGTCATCACCTTTGCTTTCTGCATAGGTGACCTGGAAGAGGTCATTTCGTCTCCGACCGGCTATCCCTTCATGCAAGTATTCTACAACACAACCAAGTCAGCGAGCAGTGCTACCGCTATGTCGGTCTTCATCGTGGCGATGTCGGTCTTTTCCAATCTGACCATGGTAGCCACGGCGTCGCGCCAGCTTTTCGCATTCGCTCGAGATCATGCGCTTCCATTCAGTCCCTGGTTCTCAAACATAAGAGCAGGGTGGGACGTCCCCTTCAACGCAATCCTGACAACCTTTCTGTTTTCAGCCCTGCTCTCACTTATCAACATCGGCTCAGCTGTTGCCTTGAACTCCATTACTTCGTTGGCAACAACATCGCTTCTCTCCAGCTACATTGTGTCGACAGGCTGCATGATATGGCGACGTTGGACAGAGCGTTCACTTCTGCCGTCCAGATTTAGCCTTGGTCGATGGGGCCTTGTTGTTAACATTGCCTCTGAGGCCTTCCTCGTCGTCATCTTCGTCCTGGCATTCATGCCAGGTAATCCCAACCCAACGCCGGCCGAAATGAATTGGAACATTGTAATTTATGGCGGCGTCACCTTGTTCTCTTTGGCATACTACTATCTTCGAGGAAGTCAACGATATAAAGGCCCAGTGGCCTATGTGAGAAATCTTTCATGTTGATGTTAATGAGCTGAAGAAGGGAATACCCAGCGAGAAACGGCGCTATGGCACATAGAAGTTCAGTTGCTAGAAATTGTAAACGGTGGGTGTGCATTGTTGCGGATTGAAGCAGATAGATGGTCACTGTATATTCTTTCATTCAAATGCAGCCAGCGTCCAGGTATACCGCTATGCTTCTACTTAAAATTCAGCATATTGTATGTTGAACTCGGTCTTCACCTTGATTCCTGAACCCCTGCGATAAGCTTCCTCTTGCTCTCTAACCTCTGCTCGAAGGATCGACTCTTCGCTGGTGTTGTCTGTGTCCATCCGCGCCCCAGCAGCTACAAACGATGTGGTAGATGTTATGACGTTGTGCGTAGGGTTAATATTGCCCAGCGCCATGCCCTGGTGTTGGGGCGTGTCCCCGGGGCTGTTATCAGACTGAGCTCTCGCAATGTTATGCATGGGGAAAATATTGTCACTGAATGACTGATCCTTGTTCCTCATCCATCCGCTGCCACTTCCGGTGGTTTTGCTTCCTCTTGATGCCTCCCAAGTGTTCAGCCAGTCTCGGCAAAGGGGCCGGCAGACCGGAATGCCGATGCACACCATGGTCGAGCAGAATTCTGCAGCATGCCAGATGATAATGCCGACAACGTCTTTGGTATAATTCGGACTCCCAAGATACTTCAACTGCACCGCTCTCTCAATGCCACAAGCTCCAGCGATGATACCAAGGCTCAAAGACGACGCGATGACTCGCTTCTCACGTTTAGGCATCTGGATGTTCCACAGTAGATACCAGGGAAAAGCGGCGTACCAAAGGTACACCGTCACGGACCAGGCACCTGCATACATTGAGATGGGCCCAGGATCGATTGTGCACTTCCCACCTGGTATTCGACGGTCCCACAGGTAGTTGGTGGGTTGACATGAAAACCAAAAGACAAAGAGTGATGCCACAATACCAGTGGCGAGAAAGCCATTTGGAACCCATATAATGATGTGGTTTCGCCTGTCTGGAACGATTCGAACAAGGAACAGAGCCAGAGAAGTCTTGCAGAGAATTGTTCCAAATACTAGGATGGTCTGTCCGATAGCTGAGTATAGAATAGCTCTAGTTACGGATTCCATCCCGACGACTGGGCCCTTTATCGCAAGGACATCGTCAATATCTCGACCGAACCCGTACATCGATGCAACTGTCATCATGATGTCGTAGATGAGGAGAGTCATCTATCTGACGTGTTATTCCGAGCACAACACAACAGCCATCGGGCGACTCACAAAGGCGGCGTTGTAGAAGTAATCATCTAGTCCGTAAGCGCGGAGAACCCTCAACCGGGTATAGAGACGAAGAAGAACGAAGACCAATGCCAACGCGGTAAGTGACCAGAGCACAGCCAGCATCTTGGGCGCGTCTCCGCCGAGTCCAAGAGCATATTGGTCTGCCATCGTTGCAGTTGATGCTGTGCAGACGACTCAGGCTGAGCTTGGAGACGAAGAGCGGTTTGCGTGACATGGAACATTTTATTTTGTAATAAGGAGGTGCTCTCTGAGTTCTCAATGTAACGGCGATATACAATCTCGTTGTCAGTTGTTGGTCCTGCTCTTACTCTTTCTGTTTGATGTCGGGGTATAGAGAGAATCTCAGCTGAGCAGCATGGGCAGGCGTGAGAAACAAGAATCTTGCCTAGTTCCCCATTTGCACGCTTGCCTACAACAGGGATAAGAGCACAATGACAGGCTGGCGACCAACCCGGTCCAGTGAGGCAGTACGGTTGCTCATGATTATTAGTCGATGTATCACGCCGACAGAGCTGCGGCCGTCGCGTTTTAACCGGCATTGGAACCAACCGGTGGCGGTCAGAGCCGACATGAATTCATCCCTTCCCGGGGAATATGATGCAAGTTCCGCCACCCGTCCCTACCCCCTTTTTTTTTTCTGTAACTGTTACGTGATGAATGCATACGACAAGACTAGGGTATATACCACGCTTCTGGCCTTCCAACAACTGTAGACGATTTGACGGCTGCATTGTTAGCCAAGAGTCCGCTTGTAGGTAGGTAGCACAGTAATACCGAAGATACAGATTATAGGGTATTCTCCGGATGAAGTTCAGGTTAGGCTTCATCGTAGTGAAGAGCTGCAATGCCGCCGTTCGAATTCGGGTCAGAGAACATCAGTTGGAACCGCTTGCAACAGTAGATCCGCGCTCCGTTCCTGAACAGTGACCGTTGGTTGTGTTGTCTCTCATTTTCTGGTATGCTGAAGGCGGAGCATATTCATTGAGTATTTCAGTTTAAACTGTAGCGCTTGAACATGCGATTGTCGTGGGGTGGGCAGTGCTACCTGTGTCTTAAACCTGAATTCTCGAGGCTTACAGTACACTCCCAGACGCAGAGAAGGCCTACATGTATTTTGTCAAACAAGGCTTTTGCAGTCTGTGCCATTCTTTCGTTTGTAAAGGCCAGGATACAAACTTGCGGACAAGGACCCTTTGCTTGAATGCAACACTTACCCCGTGGGAAATTCTACTTCTTCACCCTTTAGTATGAAGATCGACATTGAAAGGCAGGCCAGTGGTAGTTGTACATACTTAGCAAATAATATAACATGGTATGTCCTATCGTTCTTTAACGGTGAAACGATCAAACATGGGACCAGCTTGTGGAGGCGACTCAGATACTAACTGGATTATGGTTGCATTTGTTGTGGGGGCGAGTTTGAGCTGTTGGTCAACGTTGGCTCTCCTCTGATGAGAAAATTCTTTTCCTTGATTGGTGGTTTTTCTTCTCTGATCGGATGTGGCATAGGGGCAAGGGATTTAATTTCTGAAGAATGATTTGATAGCACCCAAGAACCTGGCGCTGCTACCTCGTTGCGGTCGACTGACGTCCACCCATACTCATTCTTAACTAGAGTGATAAGTCATGCTGGACATGGAAGTCCGCCCTACAGACAGGACGATTCGCATGCGTGGGTGGCCCCCCACCTCTTTAGGCGAGCTTGGAGTAGGTTGTTTCTCAACTGAGAGTATAAGACAACCCTCCCTCTCCTCTTCTTGGAACCTGCTTTCAGAGTTGTTCACTTGTTTGGTGATTCGGAACTGCCCCAAGTTCTCATGTGAACCTAGCGGCATGGATAACAGCTCGATTCCATATTCCCAGTGGGCGGCAGACCTCTTACACAATGACCAAAGCACGGTTCTACGCCCAGTCGTGCTCTTTCTACTTGTCCCGACGGCGACATTTCTTTTGTGGCATCTCGTCGCGTATTTGAATTCACCGTTGAGAAAGTATCCGGGACCAGTTCTTGCATGTAAGTAAGCAACACAACCTTCATGCCGTAAGGGAGCCCTTAGTAACATGTTATGCAAACGAAGCATTTACCAATTTCTACCGGATGTATTTTGCCTATCGAGGAGATATGCATTTGCTCAGCAAGAAGCTCCACGACAAGTATGGACCCGTCGTTCGAATGGGCCCAAACTATCTCGATCTCGACTTCTCCTCATTAATCAAGACGTGTTTTGACACTCAAGGGGTTTGGAGAAAGGTGAGCCATTTAAGGGCGAAGATGAGCAGAAACGCAGGCGATGTGAATGGTGAAAGGAATATGGCTAACACATTTACGTGAGATCACGTAGACTGAATGGCATGGGGTTTCTGGAGCAATGGTCGAAGGCAAGCTCTACTTCAACATTTTTTCAGAAGTGCGTCCGGAAGAGCATGCGCGCATAAAGAAGCCAATTGCAAAGTACTTTTCCGCTGCTGGTGTGGCGCCTCTTGAGCCCCATGTCGACGCTGTGCTCGCTACTCTGTGTGAGGTAGTAGACCAGCGGCTCGCCGGTGACGAGGCATTCGGACCGTCTTTTGACTTTTCAGAGTGGATGTTATTCTGTAGGGCCATCAATCGATTAGTTTATGGGATTAAGCTTACTTTCTTAGATGCGATGGACGTAGTGGCCAAGACTACGTGGAGTCAAGCTGTCGGATATCTCGAGAAGGGCCATGACTTTGACGGCACTTTAAGTGTGTCAGACAAAGCCTACGACTATCTCGTCACCATTGGCATGTATCCGGTGCTCGACAAACTCCTAGACAAGAACCCGATCATGCGAGTTGGTCCGCCCTCATTTGGAACTGTCACCGGCATCTGTCTGGGACATCTGGTGGCGCGCATGAAGGGCGAAGACGGCCACGACCAATCCAAGCCCGACTTTTTAGATCGCTATCTGGAAGCCCAGCAGCAGAACCCCGAAGTCGTCGACATTTATCGCATTCTATCCTACATGCTCGTCAATGTCGCCGCGGGGGCTGACACTACGGCGGCGAGCTTGCGCTCCATTTTTTATCTGTCTCTCAAGCATCCTGCCGTCTACGATCGTCTGAAGAACGAGATTCTTGCGGCCAAGTTTTCGCAGCTGCCAGTGCCATATGCCGAATCCAGGCAGCTTCCCTACCTGGAGGCTGTCTCTCGAGAGTGTTTTCGATACTTGCCCGGCAACTGTTTCGCACAGGAGCGGTACGTTCCTGATGGAGGCTTGTCGCTTCCTGACGGGTCATTTGTACCCGCAGGGACAGCGATAGGATTCAATGCGTATGTGCTGCATCGAAACAAAGAGGTATGGGGGCCCGACGCTGAAGAGTTCCGCCCTGAGCGCTGGTTGCAAGCCGATGGCGAGACTGCAGAGGAGTACAAGAGTCGCTTGCAGCACTTGAACAACGTCGACCTATCATTCTCGGCTGGCTCAAGAAAGTGCATCGGAATGAACCTTGGCAGGATGGAGGTGAGCAAGACGGTGGCAACGCTCATTACTCTCTTCGATTTCGAGTTGGAAGACCCCAAGAAGGAGTGGAAAATCCACAACAGCTTGATCCCCAGGGCCTCTAATATCATCATGAAGGTTAAAAAGAGATCGGACGCAAGCGAGCGAATTAGCCAAATGAGTAGCCACTATTAAGGTCAGCAATTTAAGAAGATACCTGTTAAGGTTATGTGGACATACGTTTGACACTTATCACTCAAGTTTATCATGACTTTCTATCTCTAGTAGAGCTTTACTTTATCTGAAATACCATGGCTTGTAAACGAGTAGAGCATCCCCTTCATAGAGGTTCTGCTTCCACAATGTCAACCAGCAGGTGCCCTTAAGACAGGTACGCAACTTTAGGACAACATCTTCAAGGAGATGTTACCTCAGGTGCCTGAAATGGTATATATTGTATACCGCCAGGCAATGAAGTCGTCTTGATCCGGGAGGGAGTGGCTGCTTTACTGCAATTTAGATAACTATGTAGAAAATATACCTAGCAGTTCACAGGGTTTACATCTAGCTGAACTGTTCACCAGTAGCCTGGATAGAATAGAGCGCATGTTTGACGTCAGAGACAAGAGAATTGTCTCAAATTTAGTCAAAGCATACAATTATCGCATGAACTTATTTACACTAGAGACAGTTCTCCCTGAGTCTTGATGCAATCCCACTGTAATCTTACATGTCAGTAGAGGAAGGACAAGCATTGACCAGAAAGCGTAAGAAAATGGTTGAGATCGCTCTTTGCTATGTATGCCGAAGCCAAGAGTTAGATCCCGAATGCGGCAAGTCTGGGCCTGAATGCACTGTGCCGGGAAAAGAAATGAAATGAAAAACAGCATGCGTGATGATGACAAGAAGGCAGCCAATTAGACAGAGTAAAGCGGAATACGTATCCGTGAATACCTAGGCCTGGTAGCCTGAAACCCCACATGCAATCGCCAGCCTTTGAGGACACTGACAAGATACCTCAACATTTTACGCGTCATCCCAGAGTTTATCGCTCTTCACACCAGTCGGCGCTTTAACCCTCCGCATGCTGTTGAGTCGTTCCATCGATTGAACAGCTAAGCTTGTGCGCCCAAATGGCTGATGCCGCGCGACAAGCCAGCGGGGACAACCTGCCTAGGAAGAGGGTTCTGGCGGCATGCGAGGCATGCCGTGACAACAAGATTCGGTGTCGGCCAAGTGACAAGCCCGGTGTCTGCCGCAAGTAAGATACATGTCCTTCGTGCGCTGCCATCCTCTGATATATCTCACACGTTCAAGGAGACACTGACCCGCCACGGTTTAGATGCCTTGCTTCGAAGCGAGAGTGCATTGTGAGGCCGAAGCCTCGAGTTCGGCGCCTGGTGTGAGTGAGGTCGAGCCATGTCTCAGGCCCGATGCGTGGATTACTTCTGCAACCATCAAGATGCACACATTGACTGGTTCCTAGCTTTGAAGAAAGCTCGGCCTTTGAGGCAAACCCTCAGCCTTCTGCCGGGCCGTCCAAGAGTTTCACCATTGATTTCAACATACCCCTCAAGGTGGACGTGGACGACCAATTCGAGACTCTTTGTGACGCTCACGCCAACTTCTTTGATGATCTCGTCTCTTCTGAGGACGGCTGTGGCTCATTTCAGCCCGAGAAAACTCGCCAAAGCTCGGACTCTTCTCCCGCATTAACAACGGCTACTGACCACAGCCCGGATTCCCGGACCCAGCCCTCTTTCAACCTTGCCTCTGCTGAAAGTCTTCTAGTCGCGTTCCGCTCAATGTTGTGCCACTTTCCTTGTATAGGACTGGATCCAGATGCATCCGTCCCCGATATTGCGGCATCGAGACCTTTTGTCCTGCTGGCTATTCTCGCTGCAGCGTCCGGGTCACGGAGTATCCAAGGCAATAGTCTATATGATGAAGAGTTCAGGAGAATTCTTGGACTGAAGTTTGTTGCCTGTGGAGAAAGAACGCTGGAAATCCTCCAGGGAATCCTCATCTACTGTGCCTGGTAAGCATACCTACTACGACTCCGGTTCGGCATGGGCATTGCTGGCATCTAGACACTAACAAGATGTTGATACCAGGTATCCGTTCCATCTCCGACCAAGGAACAAGCAGCCGTTCCGCTATCTTTGCATGGCGACGGAAGTTGTTCATGACTTAGGACTAGATCGGGAGACACACTCCGGGATGTATCATTCTGGCGCTCCAGTGACAATGCAACAGCTCGATAGAATGCGTTCATATCTCGGTTGTTTCTACCTAGCCTCTGCGTTAGTCACCCGCCCTCCCTTTTGCTTTCCTCTCTCCCCTCTAGAGATACCAATCCTTTCTTTGACGTGACCTAGCATCCCGCGAGAATGGCAAAGTCGCGACCAGGCTCCTCAAGTGTTCTCCGCGTGGATTGAATACTGCTGCAAAATGCTTGAATGCAGCGGCGATGAAAACGACGCTGTGCTGGCAGCCCTCGTGCGACTGTCCAGTACGGTCACTGAAGCGCTTCGCACCATCAACCACGGCAGCGACCAGACACATCAGCAAAGTCGGCTCATTTTGCTGGGCCTCAAAGCACAGTTACAGAATACGGAGGCATCCATACCTCCACATATTGCCTCCACTCGTGAGTTTGGCGTTTCCATTGCTGATGAAAGCTCCATAGTCTGCCCTGGTAACTGGCGACATTTTGTCGAGGCTGACAATGTTGAAGCCGTCGTTCATATGCAAAGACTGTTTGCCCATTTGTGCCTCCAAGACGGCGCTCTCCTCAGGTTGCCTCGTCTGCCTCTACATTTGACCAAAGGGCGGCCGCCACTGCTCCCCGAAATCTCCGATCTGTATGCGAGCGTAGCCACCATACATCAGCTGCTTACCTATATCCTTGGTCTTGGTGACACAATCATGGCGAATTTTTCCATTGCCGATTGGTGCAGATTCATTACGACTACAATCCTCGCCATCCGGCTCACGCTCGCAACACCCGAATGCCCCGAGTTTGATACTTGCTGGGCCCGATCCCGGCTGCAGCTTGGCGACATTTTGGAGAGATTATGCAAGGAGAAAGTCCCAACGGTTGCAAACCGTACAGTCGATGTTCTGTCCGCAATGCGCGCTATTCTGGGGGTCGTGAGGGACAAGTATAATCGGCGTCTTGATCTCATACATCGTAGACAAGAAACGGCCACTCAAAAACTGAGCCTGGGATGCCCGATGCTAGATGGGAGCATGAATGCACAGATGGAGCTATGGCAGTCTACAATGGCATTCGGTAGCGACTCGTCTACGGTGGACTTGCTAACAGACATGGCGGGCGTTTTGGGCGATGGCGGTGACACGATGCTCCAAGGTCTTTGGGGAACGACGGCGGGATGGACAAATGGCACGCTACCTCAATTACCGCCATGAGCGGAGATTTCTATTGAGTCACTTTTTGCACCTCCATGCTGAGGCGTCCCCTTGTCGCTTGTTGGAATGCACAAGGGCAAAGCCGAGGAAGTCAACACCTTCGATTCTCCGTCAATGCAAGGTGATTTTCAGCAAGATTTTGTCGAAGCTCTGTTGGCACAACAGCAATGTACCTACTTACCTAGGTAATGTATCAGTTTCGGAATTGGTGCCTACCTGGCTGATCCAACTGGCGCTCACTCGCTCTTCTTTCTGCATTTGGTCAACATGGCATCTTTGCAAGGGAGCACGAGAATTTCACTCGCAATTCTTCAGCCCTGAAATCGGAAGCTGTTGCCGGCCGTCTGCTTGTTGTTCTGGCTACCTAGTATTAAGACTTCAATACAGCCGCTTGCCCTTCATGATGCTATCGTGTATCTGGAACAGCAGCTCAATAACTCTAGAGAGCCAAGCCACCTCGGGTTGGGGCGCAACGGAGCGGCACAACCCCGCCCGATGTAACTGAAGGAGCCGATGGCTGTCGGATAAACGTGACAGACATGATGCCGTCCGTGTCTATTACCTGCTACCCTACCTAGTTCGTGTGGGCGATGTCTTGGTGAATTTCCATTCATAAACGACCTCAATTTACCTCTGGGCTATGGGTAAGGCAGTTGAAGTGGACGTATGAGAGAGTACCCTGATTGGTTTGATGTCGCCCTGCTGGATAAGTTGGCAAGTACCTACAAGTAGACAGAGCTGCAAGGGATCTGAACAAAGCCGAGACGTCTCGGATTCAATCCAAGCGGATGAACAGGACAGCGAGGAAGGGAATGCTACCAGGCCTTGCACATAGGAAAGAGCCCAGCTATATATATCGGGCTAAGTATCAGCGATAATGGTTTCTGGAGACATCCCAATCTAACAACAGCTTATTTTACAACCAACATTTTACACTTTTCTCACAATGTCCCGCATTCAATTCGGCGTCCTGGCTTACGACTACCAAGTGCTCGATGTGGCTGGTCCAAGTGATCTCCTTACATGCGCCTCCAAAGAGCTTATGGAAGGGCTGCGCTACCTTGGCCCTATCGATCAAGCCACCATTGATCGTGCGCCGCAATTCGACTTTCACCACATCGGCGTCACTCGGGATCCGGTGCAGCTAACTAGCTCAATGAGCATTGTACCCACGACTACCGTTGACGAATGTCCTGAGCTGGATATTCTGCTGCTTGGTGGGCCGAACCCTATTGGCTTCGAACTGCACCCAAAGTTTGCCGACTTGATCCGCCGTCACGTCGCTGCTGGGAAGCTGCTATTCACAAACTGCACCGGGGCCTCCGTCGCTGCTGTGGCCGGTGTCCTTGATGGGAAAAATGCCACAGTCAACAACATCGAGTTCGAATATGCCAAGAAGCATTACCCAAACGTCAAGTGGACTATGGATAAGAAATGGGTTATTGACGGGAATATATGGACGGGATCTGGTGCTGTTGCCGGTATGGACATGTTTTCCTACTGGCTGAAGGAGAACTATGGGATGGACGTTCTTATCCAGGCCGCTCTCGCTCTCGATTACGAGCCTCGGGATATCAACGGTTTGCTGAATGTCATCCCGAAGCGATACGACGCCAATGGACAACAGATCTCAACGCATGTCTTCTCTTATTATTAAGCGGCCTCTTACAGAGCATCGGACCTAGAAGGTACTGGACGATGAGCGACAGTTGATGTACCAACGCTTACCGCAATCATATAAACATCAGATAGACTTACCTGGCTAGTCGCAGCATCCGCATTGGATCTCAAATTCATCTCATATAAACCGGTCATCCCTTGCGTTGCCTTGAACTTGATACAGTCTCTTGCTTTCTAATAGCCAGGGCTAGCTTCAGCCACGATGCCCGTGGGCTGACAGACTCCAAAGCCGTGATTCGTCTGAAAGAAATTGCCATGCGGAGCTAGACAATATGGGAGGCATATGACGCCCGAGCTGAGAGAGAGATTGCAGAATAGACTTTGGACTACGTATAGCTTATTCTTTATAATCACGTCGTTTCTATCAACACATCATGGCGGCATACATATCTATCTGCTGGCCTCATTCCGTCACTACAGACAACATCAATTACTCTATCTTTAATGATACAGCGACTTGGAAAGCCACAAAAGTCTACAGCACTTGGACTATGCAACATGTCTGAGCTACTTCGTGATACCACGTTCGGGGCGATAATCAGATGGATTACGAAACGAAGGTGTCTACAGTATCGCGAAGAGCAACCGTCTTTCGAGTATCTGGACCTATTCATCAATGATTATTCTGCGGGAACATCAACCCCTCCTGACGTGGTTACTGGCACCTTAAGCGACGACCGCAGTGACGAAAGGCACCGTCAAGCCATTGAGCAGCCTTCTACAGATTCCTTCTCACACCTGTCAGAAGGTAACAATCTAGATGATGAAGCACTTTCGAAGATTACCTCGCGATCGCAAATGTCCCGGGTTGGGTCGTTAGCCGCCCTTCAACAGGAGTATACCGCGGCGACCCTCCAGGAGAACGTGCGGTCACAGCATTCCACCATCCACCCAAGGAAGTTGGAGACCGGCATCATCTTGGTTGACTGGTACTCGACCGACGACGCAGATAATCCACAGAACTGGTCATCGAAGAAGAAAGTCTTTGTTGTTCTTCAGATATACCTCTATACCCTCGCCGTCTATATCGGATCTGCCATTATAACCCCTTCTCAGCCATTCATTGAGGCCAAATTCGGCGTTGAGCCAGAAGTTGCATCACTTGGGCTATCTCTTTATGTGCTTGGATACGGCATCGGACCTTTGGTGTTCTCGCCCCTTTCCGAGATCCCCTTGATTGGCCGCAATCCGCCCTACATCGTCACCTTTGGCATTTTTGTTGCCATCTCAGCCGGAACCGCCACCGTCAACAATTTTCCCGCATTGATCGTCTTGCGTTTTCTGCAGGGCTTTTTCGGTTCCCCTTGTTTGGCCACTGGAGGCGCGTCCCTTGGCGATATCTACAACCTCGTGAAGCTGCCTTATGCGCTTACAGGCTGGGCTGCATTCGCCACTGCCGGTCCAGCCATTGGGCCCATTCTCTCTGGCTTCTCAGTTCCAGCTACGAACTGGCACTGGTCACTATGGGAGATACTCTGGCTCGCAAGCCCTGTGTTTATTTTCATGTTCTTCTTCCTTCCCGAGACGTCTACGCCTAATATCCTGCTGCGGCGCGCTCGGCGTCTCCGCAGGGTGACCAGGAACAGCCACCTGCAGTCTCAATCGGAGATAGAACAAGCTAAACTCACCGTTAACGAGGTTGTGGTGCAGAACCTCTGGCGGCCCTTTCAAATCAATCTGTTCGACCCGTCAGTTCTCTTTACTAGCCTGTACATCGGCCTCATGTACGGCATATTTTATTCTTTCTTCGAAGTCTTTCCCTTTGTGTATTCTACAGGGCTCCCTGGCCGAGCCTCTCCAACCGATGGCTATGGTATGAATGCAGGCGAAGTCGGCCTGATATTTCTTTCAATCAGCGTTGGCGTCTCCATCGCCATCGTCTTCTACGTGGCATATCTCAGATTCGTCTTCGAGCGAGAGATCAAGACGCAGGGTCTAGGTGAGCCTGAGCGCCGTCTTGTTTGCGGCCTCCCTGCCAGTTTCCTTGTCCCCATCGGGCTTTTCGTCTTCGGCTGGACAGGTAACTCGAGCCCGAAGATTCCTTGGATCGTCCCCACGATCGGCATCACAATCTTTGTGGTGGGGATTTTCACCGTCTTCCAGGTCATCTTCATCTACATAGCCATCAGCTATCCCGTGTATAGCGCTAGCTTGTTCGCTGCAAACGATTTCGTTCGGAGTAGTATAGGATGTGGCGCGATTCACTTTTCCCGGCCGTTGTTTATAAATCTAGGTGTTGGTAAAGGGGTAAGCTTGTTAGCTGGGTTAAGTTGTGGTGGTGTGATTGGGATATTCGTTTTGTACTTCTATGGCGCCACGTTGAGGAGGAAGAGCAGATTTGCTGCAACATGAGATAGCAACGCTTACCTGGGCTATCAGGTGTTCTAGAGAGTTGCTGATGGAGATATCAAGCACGTGGCACATCACGGGAAAACATATCACGATAACTCACGCCTCAAATAACTGTATCAATCGCGTTCTAGACCGCTGAGCAGATAGGAATGCAGCTTATCTATTTCAGTCTCAGCTGGATGGGTAGGTTCTGGCAGACAGAGGTAATTAATTGGCTGCCATGTTCCGAGTAGATCTGCAACTCTAACGCGCTTCTCATTCCTAACCTAAACTCGCTCAAGCCAAGTTCGACAGCCCCAAGCCTACAGTTCTTGATAATTCTAGATGGAAGATCACGGCTTGAGTAAGCAGGCACGTTCGCCTTTCGCAGTCCTAATAATGTGGCATAGCTGAACCTTTCCCAGCTACAGCGACGATGGCAAGATTTTAGAAGATGGAGATGAGAAACAGCTAAACAACGCCTTGGGTTGGGAATGAAAAATAGTGATGGAAGAGGGGGGATGTTGTTCATAAACAAGTACTTAAACACAACTCTGTCTTGACAACGCGTGGCAGCAGTGCCGAGTAGGCACTGCCTGGCACCTTTTGCAAGTCGCCGCATATGACTTATATGTACATAACGTGTGATGCTAAAGCTCCATATTCGCAATATGAATGTTATGAGAAATCCGAAATAAATATATAACAAAGACATTAAGCTTTACAATGAATTAAACTATTCGCAGATGGTTATGTTTCTGATATGAAGAGAGGGCGAAAGATGGGATGGCGATTATGTCGCTATACCAAATGATAGACTTCATTCAATTGAAGCGTCTGGCTCGAGAAGCGGCTTGTGCATGCTGCTCGGCAATCAACTACTCCTAAAAAGTGTTATGTTGAAAGCGGCATTAGTAATACCCTCCACCTCATCACCTTTTCCATAACTGAAAATGAAATCACCTATGCTGTGGAAGTCATACGCGGCTCGATCCAGCTGGAACCATGACTGGCAGCTACCATCCTTTGCAACCAGCCTGGCGTCCTGAGCAGACTGTTCTTTGGCAGTCCTGGTCTCATAAACCGCTCGCCATGACCTTTTCTTGGTGCCATCATGTGTTTGCCCAACGAGATTGGTTGGATATAGCCGAGCGTCGACGTAGGAACTTTCAGGAAGAGATCCCTCGCCGAGAGAAAGAGCATCCAGACTGTACAGATCCGGGTGATGAAGAACGTCAAAGTCTCGGACGATGAATCGCTTGATGACGAGAGTGTTTCCCGCGTCAATGCTCAGGAGAAGGCTCGAATTTGTCGTTTCATCTGAGTATGTACCCACGAAACCCCCCTTTCTGGCTGATGCCTCAGCTCGCCCTGCCTCATCAATCACTGGAACCAAACCCTCGACAATGGTGCTGAAGATCTCAGCAGTCGCTTCTGCGCTAACTTCGGCACCTGCAGCAAGGACCGCAAGCGAAAGGTCATAATCGGGAATCAGTCCAAGGAAGCCGTGATAGAGGCCCAGGTCGCCGCTTTTGGTATACAAGTCAACTATACGGCCGTCGGCCGTAATATGGTCGCTCCGAACAATCTCCCATGGTGCGCCGACTGAATAGCCCCAGGAAGAGGTATGGCTTCGCGGTTTCATCCATTCACGCGTGCGGCGCGGGCTCAGGAAGCGGTTGCTGAGGACCCCTTCGCCGAAAGCGATGAGATCCGAGGTGCTAGAGAACATCCCACCAGCACTACGGTAGGAACAGATGAGTGGTCGTTCGTTTTGCAGGCATACCAAGGCCAATACAGGGAAGAAGCTGGGCTTACCTCTCGAAGACACCCAATGTAGCGTTCCAGGTCGTCTCTCCAACAGGAACGAAGCCGATTTCGGGGAAAGACTGGACAAAACCATTGAACGAGGAGCTTTTCATGCCGACAACATCAAATATCCCAGTCTGAATAGCATTCATGTATGACCCGTTGATTGCAGCATCGATGACCATTCCAAGAATGGCAAAGCCAACATTGGAATATGAAGGGCTTGTGTAGGGCTGGTATATAGGTTCTCTCAACTTCAGGTCATTGATAAGATCCGCTTTCTTGCAGGGAGCAGTGCCGGGTAGCCCAGAGCAGCTCGGCCCAGTACCTTGAGGTATAGGCGGTAAGCCGATCTGTTGCCATAACCCAACGGGGAAGATGCCTAAATCCATGGCCGCTGTGTTTCAAGATCGGCCATTTAGCTTCAATGTCATAGGAAAAAACAGTAAGATGGTTGATGGGCTTACTATCAGTTGGGAGACCAGACAAGTGTGTCATCAACGAGTCCACAGTAACTTCATCCCAAGTTATTGACTCCACGGAATTAGTTAGGACAGCATCTTGCAGCTCCGGAATATACGCCAAGACGGAATCATCCATGCGAATTTCATCAATCTGCAGGGCAGCCAATGCTGGGAAAAGCTTGGATAAACTGCCAACCCTGAAAATCGTCCTCTCATTGATGTTCTTGCTTCCAATGCCGGAAAGATTGGGCGGCGTATAGTGATGAGTGAAGAGTGGCTGGTCTTCATGAACAGACTTGACAATGATGGACACACCGCTGGACTTGAGGTTTGAGGTGAAATAGGTATCGAGTGTTGCGCCCAACTTCTTAGCGGCCTTTTGGACATTTGGGTCATCACTTGGAGCTGTTGGTGGCGGAAGAACTTGACCGAGGGGGGGACAGGTGCGTGCCATGACAGAGATCGGGAAAGGAAATACAGCTAAAGCTGCTAGAGGGCTGAGAAAGTGCTTCATAGCTGAAAAAGCTGAGGCTGAAAAAGCTGAGGCGAGAAAGGTGTAAGCTGCTATAGCGACTTACTGCTGAGGCCCAGTAAGAAATGGACTTAGATGGGACTTGGGCACCGTAAGTGACTTATATAGACAGAGCAGCCAATCCTGCAGAAAATATAAGGGGCAGCCAGTCAAACTTGAATGTGTGATCCCGAGAGAGACGCGTTGAGGTTCACAACCACAGCTTGCGAAAAATCATCGCCAACTGCAGCTACAACTCTACACTGAGCCTCGATAAACAGCCACTGTCACTGACGTCCCTGGCGTGGCTCAGCAGAGGTGGTATAGATACATAGCCCTGCCTGAAGAAGAAAAGGAAACATGCAAGCTCCTACGCTAGCTTCGCTGTCGACGGCTACGAACCCCCAGTCCACCTGGGGTTTGCCCTTTGACCATGCAAGTTCACAAGCAGGGGATCCAAATTAACTTGTAAAAAATCAGCCTTGAAGTAGTGAACCCATCGCAAAACCATCTCAAAACGTCAGCATGCTTTCAGTAGCTCAGTAGCATAGCAAGAGGGCGCGTCCCAGCTTTCAGCAATGCGTCGTTGCAAGGCACACTGTTGCGGAAGAGTTCACTTGCAAATACAGCCCGAAAGGCGGGCGGCGAAGTGGGGCGCCAGCAAATGTGCTGCAAGTTGAACAGACACATATGGGAAGCCATTTGTCATCCGCCACAGCATGTCGGGGATCAAAGCGTGGCCCTGATTTCTACATCCCGGTATAGTAATGATCAAGGACCAAATAGGCGTGAAGCTCTCCTCGGATCCCAGAGGTAATTCATCCACGACAGATCCGACACATTGAGTATCTAGCGAGCTATTTATGCTCGGTTCTGAAAGCTTGCTGGAGCTTGATCTTTTTTGACAAGGCATCTTCATTCACTGACTAACTCCATGCGGAAAGTCAGAGTCACTTTTTCAATGACATACCTTGCTAACCATCATCAATATCTGCTAATTGGTATATCGCATCCATGGTAGTCGGAGCCTTAGCCGCGGGGGCTAATGAAGGGGCCACGAAGGAATCCTGAACAGGATGATGTAGAGAAGAAAATCCATGGCGACTGTTTACAGACTCGATGTCTCAGTGCCGATATTCGTGAAAAAAAGCACCAGGTACCATGATTCCAATATTCGACCAGAATGCCCTCCGTTGTACATTGCAACAGGACGAACTACGCGACTTTCAATAGTCGTTGCGGTTGCTCGATATTCAAAGAAAAGGGCCATCCAATAGTTGTTAAAGTAAGCAAAACGGCATGTAAATATGTAAGAGCATTTAGAGGGCTGCTTTGGACAACATAACCAAACAGTCTCCCTGGGACTCCTTTCTGAACTTGGTCGTCGTAGGTACCTTGGTTCGGATGGGCTACTCTGAGAATAAGTGTCTCATTTTCGCAAGACCAAGACAATATAAGCCAGCAATCGGTATCCAGCAATAATCCCAACCATAATGCCGAACCATGTTCCTTCTTCTCCGGGCTTAATACTGAACTGGCGTAAGACGTCGACCCCGCGAATCTTGCCTATAGAGTTCAAGTCGCTAGGGTAGCTGCACTGGTAGTGTCCCTTGGCAATCTTGTCACACGAATAACTTCGGCGTCCAAACTCGTTAACCATCATGCCCTGGAAAACGTAGGCTTGATAGTCGATATAGTGGAAGACGTACTTCCAGAAGGGGTTCAATATGTCCATTGGGACTAGAAACCCATTGACGCACATCCAGAGTCCGTTGGCAAAGGCTGTGGTTGCCAACGCAACAACAAATATGTTGAAGATGGAGGACACAAGTACGACCAAAGACTCGGCCGCAACAAGGTCCAAGAAGAGCCAAAGAACCCAAGTGAAGAAAGCAGATGCGGAAGGGCGAAAGTTGGACATCCAGTATGTGATGATCGAAAAGAGTAGGGAAATGATGAAGAGGAAGGGCAGACCAATTACAAAGTTGGCTATCATGAACGAAAGGGGCGTGACCAGGCCATTAGCGCGCTCCTGTCGAAAGGTGTTGAGATCTTCGAGGAATGCCGGCACATATGCCACCGCCATAAAGGACATGAAGGCACCACCGAAGAAGATGGCATTGATCAGAGGCTGTATGTATGCTTGCTCGGTCTTGAGCCGCAGAAAGACGGTGCCCATAAGGATAGCCAAGCCAAGATACATGGCGATTCGAATACCGTAGGCCATGACATCTCGGTACGACTTGATCCAAGAGCGATGGACAAGTATGATGGGAGTACGCCATGATGTTGACCGCGGAATCTTGATGTCTGAAGATGAGGACGTGCCCTCTACGGTCTTCTGAATCGCCGTATCAAGTTCTCGACTATTGGCTGATGACTTCCAAGCCTGGCAGATGTGACTTGTGCGGCGGCGGATCTCGCCATTCTTGTCGAGGTCTGTGTTGACGAGATCGATAAAGAAGTCTGCCGAATTTGTCTCGGCGGGAATCGGGTAGCCTATCGTGCTGAAGTATGCCGTGGCCTCTCCAACGCGACCGAAATAGCAGGTCAGTCCGCCAGATAGCAGGTACAGCTTGTCAAATTGCTGGAACGTTGCGGATGATGGCTGGTGAATGGATGCTATGGTGATGAGCTGGTCGTCGGATCAGCTGAGCTCAGAAACATGCCTCTCATTTCATTCAGAGTATTTCATTGACTCTCACTTTGTTTTTGCGCGTAATCTCTTTGATGTAAGTGCACACTTCAAGGCTGAGAGCGGCGTCCAGTCCACTCGTTGGTTCATCCAGAAAGATGATTCTCGGGCTTGTCACCAACCGGCTGGCGACGCCGAGTCGCTTCTTCTGGCCACCACTCAAGCCCTTTTTGATCGGTGTGCCGACAATGGTATGTGCCTGGGCTTGTAGGCCAAAGGCGGCTATGAGAGCATCGACCCGTCTCAAGGCTTCTATTCTACTAATCGTACTTCATTTCAGCACGTCAGAAGGGCGTTAGATAGCAGTGATATTCCAGGATCACCTACTGTGGAAGCGAGAGTCGCGCCGCAAACACCACAGTCTCTCTGACCGTCAGGCTGCCGATCAACGCATCTTCTTGCTCGACGTAGGCTGACAAATCACGGATCTCCTGGAGAGATGCCGTATGGCCATTGACAAGGATATTTCCAGCAGTCGTTGCATTTGCTGCTGCGGCCCGGTGCGCGAGTGCATTTAGAAGCGTGGTCTTGCCAGAGCCGCTAGGTCCTAGGATGGCGAGCATTTCTCCCGCACACACATTGCCCGTTGCGTTGGAAAGTATCGACAAAGGCGCTCTGGTATTCCGGTCTTGGACAATCACCTCGAGGTTGCTCCAGGTAAAGGATGTAACCGTATCGTTGACCAGATGTGCATTCTCCGTAACATTCATCTCCAAGTCTGTCCCGGCGGCTGCCGTTTCGTTCATCTCGTAGTCATGAGCGCCGGCTGTCGCAGACGTCTTCGACCCCGCCAATTGGCCATCTACTCTGCTTTGCATTTCCCAGGTTGATAGAGCAGCGAAGCCGAGTCGACTTGCGCCGCGGATTAGACTCCTGAAGCGAGAAGTTGCTGTCTCTGAAGAATCACTGTCGTCTCGTCTGTGGAAGGCCTTTTAAAAGGCAGACAACGTGCCTGAGTACAGGCTGGCTTGACGGAGGGGAATGGGCATCCGGTGGACTTCGCCGCACGTCGCCGAAGGCTGTGCGACAACCACTCACTCGGATACATTCAGCGGAGGATTGCTGTTTGACGCCCAAACGTGAGATCTAGGCCCTGCAGGCGATGTCAGCGGCCTCTAAAAGCGCGATTCTGATTCGGCATTGGTGAGCGACACTTGGCAAGGCTCGCATTTGATCGTCTCTGAGGTGCCCACATGCAGATTCACGGGCTTTCTAATCGGCGACCAAATATATCATTGCACCAGTCAGCATTCAGTGCCAGAATGAGGCGTTGGTTTCTAGCCTGTTGCTATCCTCGTTGGGTGGTCTTCCGCGCTGGATGCGACACCAGGAGATACAGTGTTCCGCCCCGCGGCAATATGGAATGCAAACGTTCCAAGATTGGATGCCCAGTGTGTGAATCCAGCGAACATCTCTGCCTGCAGTCTGCAAGGTAGCAGATTCCAGGACGAAAGGAGCACACCTAAGCTCCTCAAGACATTTAGAAGACTATCTCTGGAGGTACCCAGAGCTGGTAGGGAAACTTGGGGCTTTCCCAGTCACTGGATTTGTCCTTTGTAGATTCTGTTTAGGTAGGTAATCGACGTTCTTTGCTCGCAACTTGATACTAATTACAGCTACGTTAAATGCTTCAAGATTGCCGTACCCTCACTTCACCCCTTTGTCCTCGTTCGACTCATTTCAGGTCTTGTCAGAACATGGAATGCGAAGTAGCACCTTGGGACCTTGGTTTATCTCGTCACCGCCTCTATGCTGCCTGGTCTGTCCACGAATGCTTCACATTAATGAACGTTTCTCAAGGTAGCATCGGAATTTAGGCAGAGGCGAATCCAGATGCAGGCTGCATTGATATTGTGCGAGGCCGAGCTCAAAGACCAGCTGCCGGCTCGGACTGGGCGCTCTGGAGGCCACTCTGCCTAGGCATCGCTCCAGTCGATCTATTTCGACCAACTACATAAGGTAAACAAATACCCCGCCCGCGAGGCGAGCATGCAGAGTGAGCGGACCGGGGCATGCGACAATCTCGATGTGTCCCGCCATCATCAGCTATGCGAGGCGTATTTGATCACAGCAGGCACACCATCCGATGGCATTCATTGTGTGGATTACGAATGCTCCATGCGGCCTTCATGGGAGCACTTTGACTATGACCTCCCCCGTTGCGCTTCGGTCGGTTGAAAGGGAATTAGTGAAATGAGAAACTGCAAACTTTTTTCTATGTATCTTTTTCGTGCAAATGAAGGTTGCAAGCCTCGTACAGCCTGGTCTAGATAGAACATCTCACAACGCCGGCCAGCTTAGCGGGTAATGGGCAAATACTATCTAATACACCTCAAGCAGAGTCTGCTCCGTCGCCGATCTGACGACCTCTTCCACCGCAAGAGCCAATTGCTCGAGCATGGAGTCCACAAGGGCCAAATCTGCCTGGCTTCCGACGACCCCGACGTTGAGTTTTCCGTTCTTGAAGAACGACACAATCTTCAAAGGATAAGCGGCGTCGCCATGGGGGTTGAGAATTTCGACCCGGCAACTTCCATTGGCAAAAGGCATATAGTCAAAGTCTTCAAAATCTTGATGGTGCACAATAGAGTCGAAGAACTTCGCCCCTGAGGCCCAAGCGGGACATTTTGAAGCGATTTTTCGAAAGCCGATAAAGTCGTGAGCCGCGGATTCTGCAGTCTGCCTCTGGACAAAATGCAAAAGGTCAATTGCAGACCATTGTCGTCTGAAATTGATTCGAATGGGCGTGAACTGATAGCACGGGCCAATGATGTTCTCGACGTTTGCTAGGTCGATGCCACGACCTGATGTAACTCCTCCAAACGAAACGTCCAGCGTGCGGAGTCGGCGAGCGACTACCAGGGCAAAGGCCGCGGTGAGAACACTGGCTGCTGTAATGCTCTCGGGTGGTTTCGAAACCGCGGTCTGTGCCGACTTGAAAACGGCTATGTCTCTATGATTGGCCGACTGGCCGGGCAAGATCGAAAGCATCGAGCCATTCAGAAGAGCGCTCCAGTAATCCAGAGCCTTGTCTTGCATGCGCTGATTCTGAGTTTGCGCCACATAAGCTGAGAAGGGTTCAGACTTGACGACTTGCCCTCCAGTATATAGCAATTCGAGATCTCGAAGCAATCTGGGCAGGGAAACTCCATCATATTGGGCGTGCGACAGTCCCAGGACGAGGCAACATTTACCATCACTGGCCTGGACGAAGTAGAACTTCACAAAAGGAGATCCAAGCGGCACGTCAGACTCAATATCATCCGTGCATATGCTGGCAACACACTCATCAAGAGCCATGTCTGTGGTCCGTATAGTCACTGGAACATGTAATTTGTCGAGAACCACCTGGAAAATGGTTGCATTATGCTCAACAAATACTGTGCGCAGAATGTCATGGCTTTCGAGGAGATCGGAGCAGGCACGCAGTAACGTGGACTGGTTGATGAATGCCTGGTCGAAATAAAGCATCGTATATTGCATAGAGGTGCGTGGTTTCTGAATCGTTGCTCTCACATCCAATGCCTGAGAGTCTGTGACGATGAGAACGTCTTTGATCACCCAGGACGGATCAGAAAGCTTTGGGCGAATGTACTCTGACAGAAAGAGATCAACGTCAATTGAGCCCAGAGTTGCAAACGCTCTGTAAGGCTCGGCTTCCTGGTTTGACAGTTGGTTTACCTTCAGAACTCTGGCAGCATCACCGAGACGCATATTCTGAAAGATTGCCGCTACACTCAAACTGTGTCCTTGCTTTCGGAGGCTAGATGTGAGCTTCATGGCAGACACCGAGTCCCCACCGAGCCGAAAGAAGTTGTCGTCAACATCGATTTGATCCATGCTGATTCCCAGTACGGCGGCCCAGGCAGATCGTAGGATATTCTCTGAGAGTGTCAAATTGGCTGGGGCCAAGGTCTTTTCCCATTCCCTGCAAAGGCCCTCGTGAAGCTGCGCTATGACTGCTGAGGGTATCTTCAAAGCAAGTTGATTGACCAAGCCGTGGTCTACTTGCCCCATTGTCATGGGAATCTCATGGATGGGGATGTAGGCAGAAGGCACCATGTGCGATGGGAAAGAGTTCTGAATGAACTTGTCGAGCCTCTTCAGCGAAACTGCTAAGCTGGTGGGAATAGTTGAGTGTATATAGGTTTCCCATATCTCTGCATCGGACGCCGTGCAGCTTATTCTGATGTCCTCTGACAAGAGCGCATCGCCGGGCTCATTCCATGACTGCGGCTCAATGAAGACAAGCAGCCCTTCCTTGTAAGACTGCCCATCAGTCTCGGAACGATATATAGCCGCGGCAGCACGGCATGATGGCGGCAGAAATTGCGAGAATTGAGCCTCGAAACCATGAACATCTACTGCATGGCCATTGACTGGGGCAATGTGTTCAGCTCGGCCTATGAACAGCAGCTGGCCGTCCTCACGTAATTTGACAATATCCCCTGTCGGTTGCAGTTGACTTGCTCGGCCAGGGACTTCAAAGCTTCCGGCCAGGAGCCAAGCGGGTGGTTCGATGGTTTCTGTTGTCGACATAGATGGACCTTCGAGCCAAAGATCACCAGCACACCCTATCGGTGCTAGAAGGGAAGGGTTTCCCGGGTAGCAAACCCAAGGAACTAGAAATGGGGGATATACACACCCCGGCTGTATATCCGCAGCGGCTCGTAGTTTCTTTGACGATTTGTCAAAGGACACGGGAGCTTCTCGATTGAAACGCCAAATTTGGCTCAGCTCGGTGGCTGGGAGACACGATATCTCGCCGACGGGTGCGTTGGGGTCTTTCATGAGCTGCGAGCAAGCCGTTTCCAATTGTGCAAGGATCCGCTTCATCAGACAAATCTCGATCAGGCTGCTGTCAAAGCTTGCACACACTCGAAAGCCATCGGCATTCATACCACAGGCCAGCATCAGCGGATAGGGGTTGAAGTGCAGTGCTTCTCGAACAACATCCCCCTGCTCAAAGCCAAGATCGGTGCCGTCATACTCCGGCTCCGGTTGTATCACCAATCCCGTTCCAGCTTCGCAAGCATGCTGGGCATCCTGGCTCACTTTTCTGATATGCTGCATACCCATATGTTGATACGGAGTGCGGGAAAGAATGCTGCGCTGCACGGCCTTCAGATACTCCCTGACAGACATCGCCCTGTCGATGCGAATGCGAATTGGCACCGTAGCAATGAGTGGACCAATGATTTCTTCGACTCCCTGCAATGAGATATCGCGCCCAGTGAGCGTTTCCCCGAAGACGACGTCATCGCTCGCAGTGAACTGAGACGCTACCAGGGCCCAGGCGCCACGAATCACGGTTGCCAACGTGAATGGAAACCCGGCCGTTGTCGTGATGGGTATCTGACGCTCCAGGACAGTGTCTGCCTTTGGGAGGAAATCTCTGGAGGGTAAGGCTGGGAATTGAGCGCCGACAGCACCGTCAAGTTCCTGTCGCCAAAACTGCTGCATCGCCGCCTGGTCTGTGTCCCGCACGTATCTGACAAAGTCTCGCATATGTGCCTGCGTCCGCTGTTTTGGTGTTGTCTCACTGCGTTGCAAGGCTTGACGGACCTTTTCCAGTACGATGGGCTCAGACCACCCATCATAGAGAACGTGATGGACAGTCCAGACCATATACCTCTTGCCGTCGGTGTCGTGATGTACAATAGCAAACCGGCTTAAGCTCTGCCCGAGATCCATACGCCGAGCCCTGTCGCCCTCAAGGTATTGCGCGAGATCAGTCGCATGATCCCAGGCAATGTTCTCTTTCAGAACAACTTGTTGAAGCCCCGGATCCTGTAGCTGGGCCAAGCGAGTGCGCAGTATGGGAGTCGCCTCGACCACTGACTCCCATGCCTGTTTCCAGTCATGCAGCGCTATATTCGGTGGGATACAAGCAACCCTTTGTGCAATGTACGGCTCGGTTGATTTGAGAGAAAACGTGAACAATGACTCTTGAGTCGGAGTAGAGGGGTAGATATCTTGAATAGCTGCTTCTGTGGTGGCACACGCGAGTGACGCTTCCCTGCGGGCACTGCTGGCAAGCTGGGATATCATGGAGAACGCGGGAACAGTCGCAGCTGTACCGCAGTCACATGGGAAGACCACGCTTGCCATTTCCTGGAGGGTGGGATTGGCAAACATTCCAGAGACGCTGAGGTCGAGCCCTTGGTCTCTACACAATGACACCAATCTCATTGCTGCCAAGCTGTTGCCGCCTAGTGCAAAGAAATTATCCTCTAAGGCAACTTCGTCTTCGTTCAATCTCAGCACGGATGCCCAAGCTTGGCGCAGCCTTTGCTCGAGGTCGTTCAAGGCTCTCGATGCCGTGTCCTTGATACCTCTGTCAAGGCGTCGCAGGTCCACAGTGGTGCCAAATTCTCTGAGTCGCTTGCGATCAATCTTGCCCGATATCAGTGTTGGGATGTAGTTGACGGGAATGAATGCAGTCGGAACCATGTATCGGGGCAAAACGCTTGCGATATCGGTGACAGCTTTGGTCACAGTTTCACGGAGCCCTCTAGGTAGCTCAAATAGCTCCAACTGTCGATTGTCGGTTGCCTTTCCGTTCTGGGTAGCGACAAATGCAACCAAAGTCGGCTGGGATCCAGATCCAGACGGCGTAATGACCTCAGCTACTACACCAGCTTCTGAAGGCAGCCTGGCCTTGAGCTGACTCTCAATCTCCCCCAACTCGACACGCTGCCCACGCAGTTTGACCTGTGTGTCTTTCCTCCCCACGAACACGATCTCGCCAGACTCATCTGGGGCGTATTTTCCAAGATCTCCAGTCTTGTACAAGCGACCATGACGACCCGCGTATTGAGCATGGCCTACCACGAGCCATGAGGGATCCTGAATGAAAGCAGCGGCAGTCTTCTCCGGATCATTGAGGTAGCCTTGACCGACAATCGGACCCTCGACAAGCAACTCGCCGACTGCGCCCACCGGCAACAAGGCTTCATGGTCCTGAGGGTCGACGATCCAGATCGCTGCGCCATTGCCAGGTCCAATTGTGATGTAGTCGCTGGTCTTGGCCGCGTTGCTGTTCACGGTGCAGCCGATGGTGCATTCACAGGGGCCATACCCGATGATGATCCTAGTATATTGGCCCCAAAACGCGACATCGCTCGCTGAAGCGGCTTCACCGCCGAGCCCAAGGCCTTCAAGCGATGCAATAACTTCCAAGTCCAGTATGCGAGCAACGGAAGGAGTGAGGCCAGCATAATTGACTCTCATTCGTCGCATCGCCGTGTTGATATCGTTGAGTCGCTCGTCGTCTGACGGAATACACAGGCAACCTCCGTTGGCCAAGGTGAGAATCATGCTGTCGATGCTGACATCAAACGCGTATGACGCGAAATCGAGAACTCTGGAGCCTTCGCTGTAACCAACTGCCTTGGCACGGGGGAAAGCGCTGCTTGAATAGCTTCTGTGCGATATCTGGACGCCTTTTGGGGTGCCGGTGCTTCCAGAGGTGAAGATGATGTACATGAGACTGGAAGGTGGTACAGGTGGCAAGGCTGGAAGGAGCTGTAAGCTTTGAAGGGGGGTAAATGTATCCTCCTCCAGGATGATGTGGTTGCCATGGGGCAGAATATTCCTGCTGAAGCCGAACTGCTTGCGAGACACAATCATCATCCTCGCATTGACTTGTTCAGCCATATTTTGTAAGCGGGCAATGGGAAGTGCCGGATCCATCATGACCATGGTGCCTCCTGCTTTCATCACCGCAAGAACCGCGACCACCGTCCACCTCGATTTCTCGAAACAGATTGGCAGGAAGTCATCTGTCTCGACGCCTTTCTGCCTCAATAGGTAGGCTAATAACGTCGAGTATCGATTGACTTCGCGGTACGACAAGCTGCCATCCCAAGACTGGATGGCTGTCTTGTCCGGGATCTCATTGGCGCGCTCGGCTACGATATCGTGCATACAGCAGTCGTATGTCAGAGGTAACTCATGGTTCCACCCCCAGATCTGATCCAGATCAAGAAGGTTGGGCCGGAGAAGCTCTTCGATTGATGCGTCAGGGTCCGAGATACACAGCTTGCTGATATGAACCAGCGCCTGAACGTATCGTTCGATTACATGTTGTGAGATATTGCTTCGAAGCTGTGGGGCGCGTATGTGTAGCTGGTCGGCCTCATGATGTACTTCGATGTAGGGGATTTCCTGTTCATGCGATTATCAATCATAGGGCTTCATCGTGGGAATTCTCTTGTTGGGCGAACCTCGGTCTTGTTCTCGCCTGCTTCTCTCGATGGGCACCCAGTGCTCAAAACTAGTGAGACGGGGCCAAGATGCGCGTCGTGAGAGACTGTCTTGATGCCACTTCTGCATCCAAAGATGGCCGCGGTGGCTTGCCTGATGGTGCTCTTAAAGTTGCCTATCACCTCGTCTGTAGACAGAGTTCCGCTGGATAAAGTACGCCTGTCCTCGATTTCTCGTGTTCGGTACATCCAATCATAGCTTGCTTGCCTGTCTTCTTTAACCCTCAGAAGAACGATGAGCCATGACAAAAGCAATATCTCATCCTTCATCCCAGTCGGATTGCATGACTGCTCAGACAATAATCCGGGGAGCTTGACAATGGCCAGACTGCGCATCATCTCCCCCGGAAGTTTTGGCGTTCCGTTCATGGTGTCCATCTGCAGCTAACGAGGGGAACGTTCGATGGCGATGTAGATGGCAACCTTCTCTCCAGCTCACCGGGAGGTGCTTGAAGAATGAAAGAGTTCTGAAGCAGGTCGCAAAGCCTTGTTGAATGTGCGTTGTACCAAGGCTTGTCCGAAACGTGCCCTACTACCTAGGTAGATAGGTATATAATGACAGTCCTACTTAGGTACGTCCCCCGAAGAGAAGAGGAAAGTACTTCAAAGGCACGGCACAACCCACAGGAGCTTAGTCTAATACACACGGCTACGCATTAGGGAACCATTGTGTTCCAGACGAAAGACGAAAGAGACGCAGACAAATGGATATCTAAGATACCTCTCACAAAGTTACAGCAGCAAAAGAGAGAAGCAATCTGAGGTACACTCCGTTGAGATTGTCTGTTGATGACTTCGACCTTGATTCTGACTCATGACCATGTCCGCAAATCACGCACTCTTGTCAAGTACGTCCCTCAAACGTTCACCTGTGGGATAAGTATCCGAGATCCCGCGGATTGCATCGCGCATGTGAAGAACGATAGTCCGATTCAAAGTACAAGCGGCCCACGTCGACACACAGTTGACGTCGTACTGTATCTCCATATTGATACTAAAACACAGTATGCCGACACTTCTTGTAACCGCATGGTTCAATCCTCCTGGTGGATCCCCCACTTCAGCCGCCGCGCCACTAGTGGGTTGAGACCACGCTCCTGTGTACGTACAAGTTTGCTCGCTTGCTGTACCGGCTTTGGCCGGACATCCCTGGAAGATACCTGGTCAATGGTAGGAAGCGCCATGCCGCGCGTCTTGGCTTGCAGTCAGATAATCTAATCAGATCCGCCTACGTTGGGACGCCATCTAATCAGATGACGGCGGACCTACAATAGTCCCCGAAGAGAAATCTCTTCCGGTCCTCATATCCATTCATTTGCCGGGCTAGATGGAAAATTTTCATCAGGAGAGGCTGCTCGCCGAATGAAGCATGTGAAGCGATTTCGGAGGGGCTGTTGTTTGCGGAATTACGACGAGTTGCGTCGGTTCCGCGAGGGTACAAAAAAGGGCACCGAGGTTTCTCAGATATTTTGAGACACGTTTCCAACCATACCTGAAATCAGATCATCTGGCAAATACCTTACTCATCAGCCATGTACATGTACTCCAGATTCTGGCCCAGGGGGGGCAGCTCCGGCATTTTACACCACTATGTTCGTATACGTACCAACCATTACAGTGGGAAGCTTTCCAAGCTGACCAAGCTGACGAGGACAGACCGAGACCCTCGTCACGTTTGAATATACCTCCAGCAGCGCTCGTCAACCGCACAGTATTCTATTCGTCGGCGGCCTTGGAGACGGTCTTGCCACGACGTCTTATACAGCCGACTTGGTTCGAGCGCTTCAGCCGACAGAATGGTCATTCTTCACACTCAATCTCACGTCTTCCTATCAAGCATGGGGTCTTGGGCACCTAGATAGGGACACGGACGAGATTGCTCAATGCATCAGATATATCAAGTCCTATAAGAATGCCAAGTATGGGTATAGCAAACTCATCTTGATGGGGCATTCAACCGGTAGCCAGTGCGTTTTGCACTACCTCAGCAAACCAAATCCCCATGTCTTTGTGCCGCCCTTTGACCCTGAGCTTGAGCATGTCGAGCGTCTAGCCCTTGATGGGGCCATCATGCAGGCACCGGTGTCTGACAGGGAAGCCATCCAATGGGTCTTGCATCACGGATTTGGGGGCAAGTCAGGGGCGGAACTGAGAAGTGTATATGAGAAGCTGCAAACAATGGCGAAGGATGCCGCTCTCCAGAATCCAACCTCCGATTCCATGCTTCCCATATGGTTGACTTCCCAGATAGGCTATCCTTCCAATACTCCCCTCAGTTGCCGCAGATTTCTCAGTCTGACCAGCCCCGAGAGTCCCGAGTCGCCCAGCGACGACGACGTATTCAGCTCAGACCTGACGGACGAACAGCTGAGGAAGACTTTTGGAATGATCGAACATCAGGGCCTATTGAAGCACAAATTAATGGTCCTGATCTCGGGGGCGGACCAGTCAGTGCCGGACTGGGTTGATAAGGAAGAATTGCTCTCGAGGTGGAAGAACGCCACCAACCTGAACCGAATGACAGGGAAATGGGATGAAGTGCACAGTGGGTTGATTCCAGATGCATCTCATGCGTTGAGTAACGATGATCAAGCTGAGCCACGAAAGTTTCTTGTGGAGAGAGTCCTCGGGTACTTGAAGAGGATGGAATAACATGACATGAATTCTCAGACTTGTTATTATTAGGTACCTAGCGAGGTTCTACAAAGAAAATCCACCAACCCTGCAAAACCCATCGTATACTACCTACTCTGCAACTGTCTGGTGCATCACATTCAATCTGTAGCTGGGCGATCTTTTCAGCAGCTCTTCATGAGTCCCAGAGTCAACACACTGGCCCGCCTCGATGAGATAGATGCGATCGGCCTTCCGGATCGTGTTCAAGCGATGCGCGATAGCAATGACCGTGATACCTTCAGAGGCTTTCTCTAGGCCGTTCTGCAACAGCCTTTCGGACTCAGCGTCCAGAGCACTTGTCGGCTCGTCTAGGATCAAGATCTTCGGCTGCCGAACCAGGGCCCTGGCAATCGCAAGCCTCTGTTTCTGTCCGCCCGAGAACTGATTCCCGTTCGGCCCGCATAGCGTCTGGTAACCATTGGGCAGACCCTCGATAACCTCGTGTATGTTTGCGAGCTTGCATGCCTCTTGAATTTCCTCCAGCGATACGGCATGTCCTGGCTTGGCCCCAAGACTGATGTTGAATTCTATGGTCCCTTCAAAGAGCACATTCTCCTGCGGCACCAAGGCGATAGAGTCCCGGAAAGATACGTCGCCGCTTTTTGTCACATCGACTCCGTTGATGATGACGGACCCGAGCTGCGGTGTGTAGAAACGCTCTACCAGCGTTATGATTGTGGATTTGCCTGCGCCACTGGGTCCTACCAGAGCCGCGAAACTGCCTGCAGGGATCTCCATGCTCAAGCCGCTCAATACCTTGACACTGGGTCGAGCTGGATAGGAGAAATGCACGTCGCGAAATTGCACAGCTGCGGCTTGGTGGCTGCCATACTGGCAACTCTTTGCCTCCCTCGTCGACTCAAGGTCTTTCTCTGACGACGCTTCATTGTTTGGACGGCGCTTAGAGAGGTCCCCTCGTAGCTTGTCCGATCCAATGTCAATGAGGCTCAAGATTCTCGCCATGGCAGCTTTGCCATTTGACAGCTCTGGAGCAAGAGCGAACATCTGGCTCCAGAGCATTGCACTAACAAGGAGAGAAAATACCACGATGAGGAACTGCGTCTGTGTGTAGTTGCCCGCGATGATTTGTTTTGATCCCCACCAGTATGCCAATGCATTGACACAGTTGCCCAAAAAGTAGGTCAGGGCCTGCCAGAAGCTTGCCTGTAGAGTGACGTGGAAGGTTTCCTGGCGAGGACCCTTGAGTGATCGCCGGTAAACATTGAGCGTCTCCTGTTCGAGGGAGAGGGAGGAGACCGTCTTGATGGACGAGATTGCCTCCGTGCCAATGTCGACAGACTTGCTGTATGCATTCTCATGGCGCTCCTCAAATTTACCCAGCACCCTCAGCTCCATCAGACCGGCTCCCAGCAGAAGAGGCACCAACGCTAGGCACACAAGGGCAATTTTCCATGCAATGATGTGCGTCAGGACGATTGCCGCGACGAGATTGATTGTAATCGAAAGAAAGGTCCCGATAACAGAGCCGCTCAATCCAGCCAAGGCGTTGCCATCTCTAGTGATGTATGAGAGAAGCAAAGCAGGGGTCCGCCCTTTCGATTGATGCCACTGAAGGTCTTGCTCAAACAGCGATCGGAATGAGAGCACTCGCGCCGAGTAGACAATCTTTTCAGAAATCCAACCAAACCCGGACCAACTGACCACGTTGGCAAACAGTTCGATGATGGCGAGAACGAAAAACATGAGCCCATAGAAGTTGCCACTTGATCGGATGCTCGACGGAGTCTTGCAGATATCGAGACTGCCCACGGTGTTTCCAAAAATCACAGCTTCTCCAGAGAAGGCTCCGCCAACAATGGTCGAGCCGATAAGAGCAGCGGTTAGCATGAGAAGATGCGGCCTTACAGCTGGTGCATAACCCTTGAGCAACATCCACACGGAGGTTGACGGAGTCTCGGGCTCGTCCGGTGTCTCTGGGGACAGAACTTCAACACCTTGGCCGTCCGAGAGCCCAGACTCTTTCTCCTCCACGCTCTCGTGCGCGCTACCTTTCGTGAAGCAGGCGTCAACATCGGGTTCTGAAAAGTCATCTGATTCGCTGGTAGCGTCTCTTTGCGTAGCGGAATCTCTGCTTTCATGTGAGGTTGCCAGAGATTGTAGCTTGACCAAGTCGGCATAGGCGCCCCCTTTGGCCATCAGAGTCGAATGGCTTCCTTCTTCTACCACCCTACCCTTGTGCATGACAATAATTTTGTCTGCGCCGACAATGGTTGACAAGCGGTGTGCAATGGTCAGCACCGTTCGACCTCCTGCAATCTTGGCAATGGCCTCTTGGATTCTGCGTTCGCTCCGTGAGTCCAGAGCGGCGGTGGCTTCATCGAGGATTAAGACCGCGGGATCTTTGACGAGAGCCCTTGCTAAAGCCACTCTTTGCTTCTGGCCGCCGCTGATGAGGCGCCCACTCGAACCGACCAAGGTGGCGTATCCGAATTGCAGCTTTTCAATGAATGTGTCTGCATCTGCAAGTGCTGCGGCTTTCCGAACCAGGGCGACGACCTCGACCACACCTGAACCTCTTTTCTCTGAGGCAGTCAAGAGGTTCTGGCCTTCCCTAACCTCGGCCGCCAGATCAGCAAGCTCAGGGCCAAGGAGGATAGTCTTCAGGTGCGCATGCTCGGGATTGCTGGAATTGACTAAACCATGTGCAATGTTCTCCAAGATTGATCGATCAAGTAGGGATGGCTCCTGCTGGACTAGACTTATGAAGCTTCTCAAGCTGCGGGTATTCAGAGTCTTCAGGTCATGTCCGTCCAAGGATATTTCCCCGTGAGTTGGATCGAATAGGCGCGTTGCTAAACTTGCGATTGTGGACTTGCCACTCCCTGAAAGACCGATAATGGCGGTGTGCTTCAGTGCGGGTATCGATATGTTGACTTGGTCAAGGACAGTGATCTCGGGCCGAGATGGATAAGTGAAGGACACATTTCTGAACTCAAAGTTCCCCGCCACTTTGGATAGCGTGAGGCCCAAGGTTGAAGTACCGTCGATCAAGGGTTCGCGATCCATATCTGTGCGGAGTTTCTCGAACGAAGCAACAGCAGCCATAAAGAGGTGAACAAAGGGTGCCACCTGGCTGAGAAGCAGCGTAGCTATCGACACCAGTCAGCTTCAATCTACTTATGAACTGTCCACGCGTTGACTGACCTTCGACCAGGATGAAGATGACGGTAAACGTAGCACCAACACTGGCTCCATTGGAGCGGTGCTCGGCAAAGTCTGCAATGCTTTTGCTCCCTTGCCAAAACGCCAGTGCATTTGCAGAATAGGCAACAAAGTATAACACTCCAGATTGAATGCCGATAGCCAGAGATTTCTTGAGTCCCTCTCGTTCCGAAGATTGGAGAGCATCGGAGAATTTCTCTTCGAGCCTCTTATTCGCACCAAACGCTTGAACCACCGTGAGGTTGGAGAGAGCCTCGGACGCAATCGATGCAGCACTCGCAGCGTAGTCGGACATGAGGCCTGCGTATTTCTCAATGTAATGGCTTCCGACAAACGACATCAAGAAGTAAGCCGGTATGAGCGAGATCAACATGGCAGCCAAGTCATGATCCTTGATGAAAGCGACGATGTACGCCGTCACAAAGAAAGAGACACTGGCGAGACAAATCCCGACCTTCTCGGACGTACCCGAGCGTATTGTTTGGATATCGGCGCTGAGTCGAGAGGCGACTTCCCCGGGAGGCAGGTTGTCGAAATAAGTAGGTTCCTGTCGCAGGAGATTTTGCAGGTAGCGCTCCCGTAACCGTTGGGCCAGCCGAGCTCCGAAGGTACTGAAACAGAAGAGATGGGAGCCTATCATGACGAATTGCGCAATGGCCAGATAGACGATCATCAGTATCTTGCCGTTGATCCCATTCTGCAGCTGAGATGCTGAGCCGGGAGTCTCGGACTGGTCACATGTCGCAGTATTGAAGTCGTTGAGTAGCTGACCAAAGATGATACCGATAAGTGGAAATGGCACGCCAGATGCGATCGCGCACAAAATTCCTGATAGCAGCAGACTTTTGTCAAGTTTCGAAGGGTTTCCGGCCAAAATCAGGCGAGGATAGCCTGCAAGCTTCTGTGCCAGCCCCATGGTCCGTGAAGAGCGAACGATGTTCGCTGACAAGAGAAACACGGCCGCGTTCTGTGAGAGAAGCAGGCAGGACAATGTGATTTTTGCAACAGATGACTAAGGCCGCATGAAGGGGAAAGATATGATAATTCCTGGTAGGTGTCTTGTCTGCCTCAGCTCCGTGTCTCTCTCTCTCCTTGGGGGGCGGTGGCCTAGCCCCAGTGGAACTGCAGACAACAAGGAAATCATGCCAAGAGCATAAGACGTTGGAACGAGGGCTCGGCTCATCAAACATCAACCGACATCGGCTTCGGTGCTCGACAATGAGTTGCAGCTTGCTCAGCCCTCGTATCAGGGCCGCGAAAAAGCGTGGCCCCGTAGCTCGGGAATCGTGTAAGTCGCACCCTTGAACCGGTGCTCCAAGAAGCAGCCATGTACCTCCTAGTATACGTCGGCAGGCCCACATAGGTCATGGACAAATTGCAACCCTTCACGGTGCGTCATGTACAAGTATTACCGCATACTACTACTAGTAGCGTACTCGTATGAGGCAAGCGTTGCATGCTTTGAAGCCCCGTTGGTCTAGTGCGAGTTGGCGGGCCAGGTCCATATTTCTGAGGAAAACAAGATGCCAGTGGTTTAAGACGCTCTTCGGGTCTGGAAGGGACCTCAATATGGGAACAGTGGAGAAGGGAACCGGAAAAGAATGCTCCAATGAAGGTTTTGTTCTTGGCCCGAGGGGGTCTTGATGTGAAGCAACTTACGTGCTTTCTTCGCTCAAAGACTTGCCTAGCACACTGCAAGAAATCTAAGTAGTTGCCTAGCACGGTTCATATTGTTGACTATCGAACACAAACGGATCAACTATCCGGCAGTAGACTCCCACAATGTCTACCTATCTTTGGGAAGATAGTTAAACCCCGTATCAAAGTCGGCTTCAAACATTTGCCGCCCGTCAAGCTATTGTAAGGTACAGCTGCCCAACTGGCTGATTAGAGCTTTGCATTCCACGCAGCCCGGTCAGCAGACTCAAGTGGCCGCTCACGCCCATCCCAGAACAGCGGACAAAGTTGGAACCATTTCTCGCGACTGCATACTGAGTGCACCGATCGTTTATGACCAAAGTCAACATACTTGCCGATAGTGAGGCCCTGCGAGTTCTCATAGGACAAAATGGTGGCACCAGTTGCTTTGGGCTCTCCAACGACATTCGCAGTTCGCGGGTCATCCAGGAAACAGTAGTGGATGCAGCTGGAATACCATGCATTGACACGCTGGGCTCCGCGGAATGAAGCGTCGCCGACTAGAGAATGCCTCCCGCGGTCATAGTCCTGGGCATCATAATGGGCGCCGTAGTGATCTTCCTATCCGTTTGTCAGAGGGATGGCAGAAGATGGGGGCATCCAGCGGAGTTGGCACTTACCTTAGCCCAGTACAGCTCGTAGTAGGCAAAGCGAGAGTCGTCAAATCGCCCAAACAGACACAGGACGTGAGGGTCAAAGTGCAGTTTGCGCAGGTACTCCCGATGCTGTTCCAGTGTCCCTGTCTCATTCCAGCCCTGGGCAACTCGTGGGTCGTTTTGCCACTTGTTGAAGAGCTTCAAATGCTCGTCATCCTGCCAGTCGATTGTTTCCAGGGAAAAGTGCATGTCCACTTCAGGAATATAACGGCTATAGACAATCGACTTTGGATCAGGCTTCGGGCGTCGTACCGGGTGGCGAGTGTACACCGGTTCGCTTGGAAACTTGTTTGTGAACTGGTAATGCTCGGCCATTATTGGGTATTGGGCCAGACTGATCCTCAAAGAAGCGTCTGTGCCATCTCCAGTAACCCAGATAGGCCGAGGACCAGTCGGAGATGCTGCGCCTTGCCAAAAGGCGCTTCGAAGAATGACCAGCTCCTCCGAAGGGGCACCCGTCGCTTCAGAGAAGTTCCGCAGCACCGGATGCTCTATCCCCAGGCCGGTCGCAGCCAGCTCTCTGCGGACCAGGTCCTTTCCCTTGCCTCTCAGAGTAAGCCTGAAGAATTCAACTGCTGGATGAGCCAGGTAGATAGCGTGAATGACGTTCCAGATCTGGCCTAAAGAAGGAACCTCTTCGTCCGTCCATTCAAAGATGGTTGCAGGACTGCGACGAGTTCGGGCCCATGGGCTGTTGTCAGATGCGGGCGGACAGTCATCTTTAGGCAGAAATGTCAAGTCTCTCCATGAGAGAGTGGTGAGATGCAGCGGCTCTGGTAACGGTTGGCCCTTCGGAGACTTGTCATCCAGTGTCAGGATAAGCTTGGCAGCCGTGGAGTCTTCCACAGACTTGACTCGATATGCCGTGAGAAACGGATGCGGAAGCTTGATGGGGGGATACATGGTCTTCGGGGAAGTAGCCAATGCCATAGCTGTGCACCAAGAATGTCTTGTGGTGGTCGAATAGTAGGTGATGTAGGGTGATAGGAAGGAGTATATGAGGAGGTCAGGCTATAATAGCGAGGCCTGGGCAAAACAGACGGAGGCGATATGGACTAGAGCGAACAGGATGTTGGGGTCACGGCTCATTTACATACGACGCATGCTATGACAACGAACAATAAGTTTCCGATGTCTCATCCTGTGGCTTGACACTATTGGCGGCACCATATACCCTAACAGGCATGGACTCTACCGAGCATTCCTCTCGATACGAAGGTTATATAAAGCCAAAGCAAGGCTATTCCAGTTCATCGAGCTTATGTCGAGACTCTCATTGAAAGAAGGTCCTTTATCCAAACTGAATAGAAAGGATTCGTCATGTCTCTCCAATCCAGCACTTTGCAGTACAAACACTTTCGGGTCTCGTATCCGCAAGACCACATCATTCAGGTCACACTGGACAGACCAGACAAGCTCAATTGCATCGACAAAACGACTAGTCAACAGATAACAGATATCTGGCAACAATTTGACGAAGACGAGAACCTATGGGTCGGTATCATTACGGGATATGGTAGAGCGTTCTGTACCGGAGCCGATCTCCAGGGTAAGCTATTCTGTGCGAAGATTGATGAGAAAGAGGCTGATAGTATCTGCCAGAATGGAACGACATGAATAAGAATGGGGTATTCAACGACATGGCAGCACCCGGGCTGGCTGGTCTCCCCCGTCGAAGTGGGAAAAAGCCCATCATCGCGGCAGTAAACGGCATATGCATGGGGGGCGGCTTTGAGATGATTGCAAACTGCGACCTGGTAATCGCCTCGTCCTCGGCCATTTTCTCACTTTCTGAGATCAAACGAGGCATAGTTCCCGTGGCTGGATGCCTGCCGCGGCTGACACGAATTATCGGCCTGCAGCGCACCATGGACCTCGTCTTGACCGGAAGGAATGTGCCCGCCAAGACACTCCATGAATGGGGCCTTGTGTCTCAGCTTGTGGATCCAGCCGAGGACGTGGCCCAGGTGGCAGTCCGAGTTGCTCAAGACATGTGCAAGAATAGCCCGGATGCTCTGATTGTTGGGCGTCTTGGCGTTCGGCTGAGTTGGGAAGTGGGTAGCGTCGAGGAGGCCGTATCGATGCTGGCCAACGAGTGGTATCCTCGTTTAGTCAGCGGCCCAAATTTCGCCGAAGGTATTCGGGCGTTTGTGGAGAAGCGACAGCCGAAGTGGGTAGCCCCAAAGCTGTAAGAGACGGGTGCTTGACGTTAAAAGTAGGGCGACGCTTTGACAAGATGTATTCAAGATCCATACCAAGGTAGATAGGCACTATTGATCTGATAAGATGGATCAGTCAAGTATTATCTTATCAGATGCCCCGCCCGTCCACACTAGTCGCCCCGGATCAACACCGTCCATGAGACTATCGAAAATATGCATACTACTACTAGCTTAGGCACAGGCAGGATGGGGTTTTGAAACAGCAATTCGTAAAAACCCTGTTCTTCTTCGTATTGAGACTTGCTTGCGATGTCAACGGCTCAAGCTGTTCCGACTGGCATGGGACAAAGCATCGGGCAGCCTAGCTGTCTCAAGGGAAGAGTCCTGATTTGCTTCAAGGGTCGTAACGCTGCCGTGACAAGGAAACTCTTGGACGATATTCTAGGCTGCACGTGACGTATGAAAGCTGGATCTGCTAAGTTTCTGCAATGATGATTCTGTCCCGAGCGATTGATTCTGAGCTGAAGTGTTTTGCATCGTGAATTCACTCCGTAAGCAAAACCTCGAGCTTACTGTGTCGCTGGGTCCGCTAAATTACGGAGCTCTGCATCACACACTGTACGGAGCGGGGTCCCCAGTTGCTAGGGTCGGAGACATCAGCTAGGTAGGTATCCATCTTCCATTCTTGACCCAGCCGCCGCGGATCTGATAAATTTTCTAGAGCTGGTGCGGGCCTTGGACATCGCTGAGGCGAACGAAGCGGCTGATGGGATATCCACATACTTCTGCGCCTTGATTATGCTGGGTCGGCTCAGCTCAGGCAGGCGGTCTGGCCAGACGCGGCCAAGCCTTCCATCCTTGCTTCAAGATGAATAGTTCGAAACAACTCGTACGATCTGATAATCGGACCGGCATAGGAACGGCAAAGGACGGAAAAGGATGACACCCAGAGAGGGTACATCTTTGCTCCTTGGCGGCCACAAAGTACCTTCCAGTGGCATGTCCAGTGCCCATAATGTTGAAGCAAAATGGCAATCATGAGAGGAGAAGATTGGAGGGGTAAAAAAAACCGTGTGATCGCAAAAAATTTGCGAGAGCTACTCCCCACAGGAAGTGCCAGTGGTCCCCTTAACCTTCTGAATTCATGAGAGGAGCGTTAAGCCGGGAACGTGCTCTTCATAAACAGACCTACAATCCAAGGGTAATATTGATGCTGCCTATCTGCATATGATTTTTTTGGTAGATGACCTTGGATCATAGAAAAAAAGGGACAAAATAAGATAGGAAAAGCAGAAAAAATAAAATGCTTTGCAGTGTGTGGCCACTCGCAACGTATGTTCGTAACGAGTAATCCCAGACCCTACTTTAACTAGCTTTATTACAGAGTCATGAAAAGCTTTACAGAGGACTTGGTAGTGTTAGCACTGGAATACAGTAACTATCCGCAAAAAGCTTAGCTGGAATTAATTTCAAGTTCTCGCCATTGCGTTATATCCTTGTACGATGCTGTCCTGGTACCTCGTATAAGGGCAAGTCGCTGCTTGAGACATTTCCTCCAAACTTGTGCTTTTTGGCAGCTGTCAATTGTCTGGGACACTACGCGGAGACTTCCAAGTTCATTCTATCTCGGCAGATCGAGGACAAAAGCACCTCTGTCACGATGCACTCGGACGGCAAGGATACTGCGGTGCTTGCCACTGATACTGCAGCTGCAACTGACGACAATGGCGGCCCTCAAGTCGACTTTCCGAACGAAGAGGCCCAACGCGGTGTTCAAGCAGTTGAGGCGGTGACACTCACATGGTCGAAGTTGACACTGATTGCCATTTTCTTGAAGTAAGCACTTTTGGTGTCAGAATGCACAAGGGATAAGGCTAATGTTCATGGGTCCCCGAAGCATTTGGCTGCTCTATTTTGTCAACGCCTTTCAGTCTACCATCCTATCGAATTTACTTCCCTACGCAACGAGCGACTTCGAATCCCATTCGCTTTTGAACGTCATATATGTCGTGGCCGGCTCGATGTCTGCGGCAACCTATATGCCTCTGTCCAAAATTATGGACGTCTGGGGTAGAGCTGAGGGTTTCCTCATCATGACCGTCTTTGCTACTCTGGGCCTCGTCCTGATGGCCGCAAGCAATGGCATTGCCACTTTCTGTGCCGCATATGTAAGACTTGCCTCGCTGCGTAAAATGCGCCAAAACCCCATGTTCCGTATACAGATTCTGACAAATGAGACTGAATAGGTGTTTTACAGCATTGGCTTTGGTGGTATGACTTACGCCGTCGATGTTATCACCGCCGACGCGTCACAACTGAAGAACCGAGGCCTGGCATATGCCTTCACATCCTCTCCGTACATGATAACGGCATTCGCAGGGGCCAAAGCCTCCGAGGGCTTCTACAACGACATTAGCTGGCGATGGGGCTTTGGCGTCTTTGCGATTGTCTTTCCCATCGTGGCTGCTCCTCTTTACTTTATCCTTAAACTCAACCTACGTAAGGCAGAGAGGCAAGGCCTTCTCAGCAAGGAGCCAAGCGACAGGACGATTGTCCAAAGTATCTGGTATTATTGCGTCGAATTTGACGGTATGTTGTGGCAGCAATCACAAGCACGGGGTCAGTAACTGATCATCTAGCAGCTATGGGAGTCTTCCTCTTCTCCGTCGGCCTTACCGTCTTCCTTCTCCCCTTCAACATTGCGGACTCTGCGCCAAACGGTTGGGCATCGGGATATATCATTGCCATGATTGTGGTCGGCTTCGTCATGCTGATTGTATTCAGCCTATACGAGGCATTTCTTGCCCCTACGCCTTTGCTGACTTGGAACCTCCTGATTGACCGAACCGTCATCGGCGCATGTCTCCTCGATGCTACATATCAGATCTCGTACTACTGCTGGGCAAACTACTTCACATCTTTCTTGCAGGTGGTCAATGACCTGAGCTTGGCAGAGGCCGGATACGTCAACAACACCTTCAATGTGGTTTCTGGAGTTCTTTTGCTGATTGTGGGCTTCCTGATCCGCCGAACCGGTCGATTCAAGTGGCTGCTTTACATCGCGATTCCGCTTTACATCTTCGCGCAGGGCTTGATGATATATTTCCGCAAGCCCGACCAGAGCGTAGGCTACCTTGTTATGTGCCAGGTTTTTATATCTATCGGAGGCAGTATCTTCATCATCATTGAGCAGCTTGCTATCTTGGCGGCTGTGGATCACCAGCACATTGCGGCAGCCCTCGCATTGCTTAATGTCGTGGGAACTGCGGGAGATGCCCTCGGAGCTACCATCAGCGGCGCCATCTGGACAAACACGTTCCAAAAGGCACTGGAAAGATATTTGCCAGAATCCGCGCTTCCAGATCTGGACATCATCTACGAGGACCTGGATACGCAGCTCAGCTATCCTGTTGGAAGCGCCGTGAGGTTGGCGATTCAGAAAGCGTATGGCTACTCACAAACTCGAATGCTGGCGGCTGGCACTGGCGTCATGGGCCTTGCAATCATCTGGATGCTCATGATCAGAAACATCAACCTGACGAAGGTGGCACAGGTCAAGGGTATGGTCTTCTAGGCTGAGCAGTCGATGGTCGAAGTAGGTGTTTCTTGCGGAGCCCCGGGATTTCCGCAGAACACTTTCAGTGCTGTGTCATGTATTGGAAGATGGTATAGAACCCGCAATCACCAAAGATAGATTGACGTCAATTGAGTAGTGACATGCTGCAAGAGTAACTGTTCGCACGGGCTTAAGTTGGATTTGTAGTGGCTTATGACTCTTCTACTGCCTTTCATTTGCATTCTAGTAACATTTCCTTGGAGAATTATCCCAGTAGGCCTCGCTGCTCAGCATGCGACGCTCTCCTAGCTCATTCCATTGGCCTTGAAGAACGATTCCCGAGCCCCAGCCCAAGGCTTTCGTTTCCCTTCATCAAAAAGCCGGTAAACCTGTGGGACGAACGTGCCATCGAGAAGTGTTTTGTAGAGTCGGTAGTCTGTCAGCATAAGTCGCCACGACTTCCATCCGTTGCCGATTCGGTCTTGAATTCCCAGCCCTGCTGCTTTGTCCACCCAGAGATTCCATTCGGCTCTATCCACCATGGCCGGGTCATAAATCTCACCCTTGCCAGCGAGGAAGATTGCCATTTGGTTTTGTTTGTCTGCATTTCTTGCCATTTCTGCATCTGATGGTAACTTTGTGTTTCCTGCCCAAACCTGGGCCAGGGCCATTGATGCCATATCTCCGTTTATCGTAGCAGATAGAGTAGAGCCTACATGCTCTGAAAACGCGAGGGAGTCTGGGAAGTCCAGGGAAAATATGCCCTGGTAAAGCCTTGGAAGAGGTCGTCCCATAGAGCCGGGAGCATCTTTCCATGCTTGTGGCATATTCCGAGAAGGATCCCATTGGCCTACCAACGAGTATGACTTGGTATAACCGACGGAGAATATGATAACGTCAACTTCCAGAACCTTACCGTCTGATAGCTCCACATGCGATTCATGGACTCTCTTGAGACCAGAGACTAGCGTGACAGCCCCAGAGACGAGATGTTCATAAAACCCGTCACCTATGATAGGCAACTTGTAAGGCATAGGGGGTGGGTTTCCCAGGCCCCATTCTGGCTTCACGTCGTAGGCTTCGGCCTGCATGTCGAGAAAGGCTTTGTGGAATGCCTGGGCTTGCTCGACAATTGGCTTCTTGATACTTTCTTTCTGCATGCGAAGAGGGGGGAAGCAGAAGTCGTTGGCTTTGCCGAAGGGGAGCTGTAATGTATGTCAGCGGCTCTGCGGGCCAAGCCGAACATGGGCCACTCTAACCATGAGACAGCCATTGCGGTGTGATATGAAGATGCTTTTTGCTATTCCCACGAGACCTCTTGCAATATCTGTTGCTGTTGCACCAAGACCGACGATCAAGACTCGCTTTCCGTCAAGGTTCTTTGGCCTAGAAACCATGATCAGACACCAGAAACGGCCAGACGATGCTTAGGATCGAAGTCTCTTGCCTTTTGTAGGTATGTGTATTGAATACTTGCCCCTTGAAGTCGTCAATGCCTTCAAAATGCACTCGCTTGGGAGAGTGGTTGAGGCCGGTGCAGAGTACCAATCGATCAAATGCTTGCTCTTCGCGTTCGCCATCCGACTTTGTAAGTTGTAAGTGCCACTTGTCGCCAACTCGATCAATGGCTGACACTCTTGTTCTCAGTCGGAGCCGAGATTCAAGGCCAAACTGACGGGCATATGACTCGAGAAATGCTTGGATTTCGCCCGGTTCGAGTGGCACGTCGGATTCACCTGAGCATGAGACTTGTCAGTAATGACGGAGCAGCTCTATGGTGACAGCTGATCTACTCGACGTACCATTGGCATAAGGAAAGTCGGAAAAGCCAAACTGATCATGCATAACAGTAAGTAAGGTATGTCCGCTTCTGAAGACGATGTAACCACCACCTACCATACGTCTGCGGACCAATGCACGAGTGTTGTATAAACAAGAAGTCCTTTGCCCCTCAGAATAGTGCCAGAGCCCACCAATGGCATCGGAAGCATCGAATCCTGTGACATCGAACCCAGCCTCGGTCAGGTTCTTACATGCCGATAGTCCTGCGATCCCTTTTGTAGGTATGTTATGTCAATATCGCATGGGCCTTGTAGGCAATCGCTCTGGATACAATGAAGGGATGAAAATGTTTGCGACTCACCCAGACCACAGACTACCACTTTGGGCTTGGCAAGCCTCTTTCGTCCCATAGCTTGAGAATTTATCCAATTGACTCCGCTTGCAATGTCGTCTACACCGCAACAGAGACTCTGCTATAGACCTGGTTTCGGACAATCCTTGAACAGCATACCCAGTATCTTGCGGATGTCTTGGGATATGCCGGGTTTTATATCCATGGGTGCTAAGAATCGAAATAATACGCCTGTGCAGTTCCATTTGAATCGCTGGAAACTTTATGATCACTGGCTATTCATTACCCGTCAGCCCGTGATCTGACCCGAGGATGTCGTAACCGCATCGGACTTTCTAATGGAGAGTGCTGACGATCCATTCGCCAATTGTATTAGGCAGCGAGATTGCGCTCTCAAGGTGTCGTATAATCCACAGACACCAATATGCGCCAGCTACACCATAGACCATGAGGGATCTTCAATGAGTGTCGAGAGAAGAATACGCCGCACAGATCCGCATTGTATGTATTGGACCGTAATTTTTGGGTTCGTTGCCTCAAGGGTTTCATTCTCAATCGCATCTGAGCCAGCTCAACAGACATCTCACGTTGCAGTCCATTGCGTCACAACTGAAATAGTGCTGAGGATAGCACTAGAGAAATTTCCTCTTGCCTCACACTATCAGGCAAAGCGCCCCAAGTGGCATTGCCTTGCGGTTCCGCAGGTTGCTTACATTCGGGGAATTGCTACAGGCCGTTGTGTGCATAACTCCACGACTGTTGGATCATATCGATTCGCATAGCTGACTTCCCCCTTTGCCGCCCCCTCCCCCCCCCCCCCCCCCCCCCACCGTGACGCGATATATCCCTTTATTTCGAGGATACTTATGAAAGACAGCGTAATTCGCTGTAGTCTGAGAGATTGTTTCTGGCGTAATAGATCCAGAAGCTGTCAAAATCGAGCTCTGTCCGCGTTTCCCGACGGAGTCGAATGATGCAAGTTCCCAGTACACATCCGCGACGCGGGAGGAAAAGATACAGCCTCCAGAATGCATATGCATATGCAAAATCACTATCTGACTCTTAAGATTCAGTGGAAAGGTTCAAATCGGGGTTCTTCACGACATCTGAGAGGTTTCAATATATGACTCTTAGGGCATCAAAGCGCCCAAAGGCAAGAGACGGCAGAGTCCAAGGGAAAAGAGTCGAAGCCTAAATATATAATGACTGAATTCCACACATTCATCATGAAGAAAGCTTCATGCCTCAAATTCAGACTGTAGGACTCGTTGCTTCGTCGATCTTGACACCAAATGAGCTGACAGCCGTGGTGTAGCTCTGGTGAACAGCTTTGCTCGCATAGACTCTCATGTCCCGTTCATACGCCGCTGTGACGCCAGGTTTGAACCCTCCAGCCTCCCGTATCAACCTTCCCAAGAGCGCAGAGTCCTGCACGGCAGTATTTGCTCCAATACCCCCTGCTGGCGTCATCGAATGGCAGGCATCTCCAACGACTGTTACGCGAGGCTCATTTGGCCACTCAGGAACTCCGGATGGGCTGGAACATGTAATTTTCCAGAATGCCGCTTCTGATTCGTTCATCTCGTCGAACAGTGGCTTGAAGCGAGGGTGCCAGTTCTTCACGAGCGACTTTGCGATGTCGGCCGCTTGCTTGCCCACGATACTGTAGTTGTCGTTTGGAACCTGGATGACACCTGGCTGGCCACCCATGGTCCATCCAAACTCGACATTGGGGTCATTCATCTGATCAGGCCTCACATTCGTGATGATGAAAACGGCGCCATCAGGCCGAGACCTGTCTCGCACGGCAAAGACTCCCTCTCCCAGGCCCTTGAAAGCAGTCGTGGGGGCCTGGCCATGGATTCCTCTGGCTCCTGTATCAAATACCTTGATTCGTCCGCCTGACACTTGCTTCGCGACTTTGGAGTAGATGCCCTCGCCCCCCACAAGCATGGAACCCTCAATCGACTTTGATCCATCGGCAAATGTAGCGACCACACCGTCGTCGGTTAATTCGTAGCCCGTTACGTGCCTGGCCCATTCGATGTGCTCCTCACAGCCCTCGGCAAATACTTTCCGCATGTCTCCGCGAGCGATGCCGACAACCTTGCCGTCCCTGGAAGCCAGGTTCTCAGGAGCTGCATGCTCGGTGACTTCCCCAGTGATGGCGTCGAGCGCGGTAAAGCCAAGGCCTCCCGTCTTGCCGCATTTATCCCAGAACTTTTGCCACAGCTGGGGTTCAAGGACCGACTCAATGGCATCAAGCCCTTCTGACGACAATCTCAGTCGGTACCCTTGGGCACGAAACGTAAATGACGCATCGCGCTCGAATATTCGGAAGGGGATGTTGGAGCGGCGAAGTGATTGGGCCAGCAGCAGGGAACAGAGGCCACCGCCCGAGATCAGGATGGGTTTGCTGGCAGACATTGATATGGCCCGCGTTCTGACACTCTGGGTATTCTATCTTCTTCTGTGCTTGGATTGTTGACGGTTTCAATGAAAGAGGGGAAAGTTTATGGGCAATCCAAGGTTTTATGATTTCTATTCGATAAGGCGAACTACCTAGGTAAGTAAGCTGCGCTTTGCGCCATGTCTGACTAAAACGCAATAAGCAGATGCGCTTTCTTACAAACGCCAGTTATTGTCACTATTCTTACCTTCCTACCTACCTTATGTCAAGAATATCCTACAAATGCGCGCCGAAGTAGGGTAGCGCCAACCGCTGTCTGCCTAGACGAGTGACGATGGCCTGTCTGCCTACCTACCTAGGCACTTTAAGAGACAAATAGTTACTGTAAAGCTCCGGAGATATAAGTCCTGAACCCATGAGCCGATTGTGAAGGTCTCGAAGCATAACGTAGACTTGATTACAGAAGCTAGGACGAAATTGTACCTGCAATTTAGTTCACATTTCTCATCACCTAACCTAGGTCTCAAGATCGGACGAGGATACGCTCTAGCATCTTTTGTCCTTAAACCTACTCTCTTGTCGGTCAATCGAGGTCCTCGTTCTTAGTGATAATAAGGACGGTTTCTTTTCTAATCCTCGACTTACCGATTAGCATCGAACAGCTAGTGTACGCACAAGTCTAACTTCTTACGTTGGTATACAGGTGCCCATTCATCAGCACCAGACGGCATATCGACATGTCTTATTTGAACTCGTTAGTGACTTCGTAGATCCGGGAAACATTACCGGTCCTTTGGTGCCTGGGTGCCTAGGTATACGGATATGTACAAGTGTGTCAGACTGTCGGTTGCTCAAAAATCCTTCGTGGAAACTACCTACCATGCAAAGGAACATGTGAGCTATTTTCGATGTGCGGAAAATGTCGGACTGCCGCCACGGGTTCTCGGTGAGCCTCAAGTCCGCAGATTCGTCGTTATTTAAGGGTTCAGCGCCGCAATGAACATCCAGCCTCATGCATAGGAGCTCAAAGGCACCAGTCATTCTTCAACATGTTCGGCCCTATCCGAAGGGTGGCGGGGATTCTGACTCCCAAGACAATCACATTAGGGACGGCCCTGGCCCTCGCTAGCGTTAGCGGGCTGTATGCCCTGAAAGTGCGCAATCGCATCCGCCAAACAAACCCAGGACAGATTCAATCAAGTCTCAAGCTATCGGACTCTTTCAATAAATCGCATACAATTCGGAACCTGGTAAATCCACGGAACCATGTTACCAAGGGGGACTCTCATTCTATCGTCTTGACACTGTGCCCGAAACATGGCGCTCCGTCAGAAGAGGATGTTCTATCTACGTTCCTGAAGGGCTTTTTTGCTGGCCCAGTTTTTCTACCCGAAGGCATCGCTCTCTCTTTATTCAGTATTCTGAAAGTATCTTATAGCCGTAAGTCAATTACCAGACTTGAGTCACATACCTATTTCCAGTGATTTAATAAAGTGATGGAACCAGAATTGGTACCAACGCCAGATCAGAGGCCCATATGGCGTTCTAAACAACTGTCAGACACTCAGCTTCCTCCCAAGGGTACTACTCTATGGGACACGTTTCAAATAGCGGAATCCAAGCTGTCTAGCAAACAGGCCAAGGAGCGCACGGGGAGCAGCGTTGATGTGGTCTTCGGTGACTGTGAGAGTGAGTTTGCCGGCTGCCATCGATTCAGTGTTCAGAAAGCGAGCGATGGCAATGGCCCTGAAGAGGATGGTATCCGGTTCCGCGTGAGTCTTGAGTGCTTGGTCTGCAATCCATTGACAGATAGGCAAGCTGGCTCTGATTTCTTACATGTTCTACATAACAAATACTCCTATCTGCTTTTCCGAGATGCAGTAGCGCATATAAAGGAAGTATTTGCCAACTTGGCTTAATGTATATAATCGCATTGTGGCTGCTAGTGCAAGAACCTCTGCAGAACAAAATATAGAAGTCCAATACAGCACGTTCTTGTGTTATGTTTGTCAGACATGCCGCACATGTATCATGTACACAGACAATTGAAGTAGGCCACCTGCTCATAGGGTATAGGCTCATTCCTGTGCTGGACATCAAGTTGTTGGGCATGGCCATCATAGAACCACACAGTCGCCCAAAGCAACTCTTATCATCTTCTTGACTTGTCGATGAAAGCAGATGTCCTCAGTTGAGGCAACGCTGAGCTAGCCTCTCGTTGCACCGATTTAAGCCTCAAATTCCATATCATAAGCTAGTGAGTCGGTGCACAACTCATCCTTCATTTGTATCACTCTGGAGAACCACGTCAGCGCCCTTCAGATATCTGGAATCCGGGTAGCCTCACGGTTGATGAGCGGCATGCTGAGCGTAGATTGGAACCGTATCGACTTTATCCAATACAGCGACGAGGCCCACATTGAAGCCCTGGGCACGATGGGCAGTAATCGGCAGTGGTTTTCCGAAAGAAATTTTGAGGAGGCCTGCGCAATGCGTATGAGCAATGTGAGTCAGGATCGAGGTATAGCTGCGCACCTGGAACCTGTCCTTTCATGGCCAAAATCATGTCTCGCCACTTGTCAACCTGCTCCGCAGTAACATCTGGCTTGAGCTTGAAAAGAACTTCATTACTTCGTGTCAATTGAAAGGCTCTTAACTGGCATTTCACTTCACACCATATGTAACATACCGACATGGTAGACGGGCATTCTGGCAGCGGGCCGGTATGGCGAAGGGCTTTAGAGAGAAGCGTTATGTTTTGGTAGGTGAAATTTCAAGCAAATTCACTTTCAATGCTGGCTTTTCCTCAATGTTGCATGTACGACAAAAAAGTCCACCACCGAAATTCTGCACAGGTGAACATCAAGGGTCTCCAGATTGATGTCTTATGAACCGTGGGCACTTATCAGCTGCCGATAACGGACAAACCCCGCCTCGACACGGCGGTCTTGAGCCTGTCTGGACTAAGTCGCCGAGGGCGACGAGTTTCCAGTTGCCGTTCCAAACGCTGGTGCAGAATGCTGACGATCGTTGAGATGCTTGAATTCAGCCTGATGGTGTAGTTAGTGGGTGACGTGCCCTGATGAAGCCGACGAAAGCGGTCCCATGCTCAAGGCTTTATTGCTGAGATGGTGTTTTCCGTACAACGTGCTATTTACCAAGGTAATAGAAGACGATGCTTAGCATCCAAGGTACATACGTGGGGTATTTGCGCGGAAGATGGGAACATTTCGAGCGTTTGAAAGAAACGCGCTCCGATGCAAGGATCATAAAAGCAAGGGGCAAACTAATGTTGAAATAACTCTGCTCAATCAATGCGTCTAATCACCAGTAGCTTACAAGCCCATAACGCCGGCGCTGACTAGAAGAGTGACGAACATGATTCCACCAAGTTGCCAACTGCTGGGGATACGAGCCCGCAAAGCTCCCTTGCTATCATCATCACCATTGCCCGAATCCGAGGCACCGCCCGAGCCCGTGGAGTTGTTCGAGCTCGAAGCTGCCAGTGCACTGCACTTGTTGAGAGTTCCTGAAGCAGTCTGCGTCTTAGCACTGCTGTTGAAGTCACAAGCGGTGCTGTCCTTGTTCTGCTTCTGGTAGTACTGGTTCAAGACGTAGGTCAATTTGTCCGAATCGCTGCACATGCTGAAAGCGCCATAGTCGCCGGTGGAAGTATTGCCGTTGATGCCGTTGCACAGAGACTGATCCGATCCGCACACATAGTCGAAAATGCTCCCGTAATCGCTAGGATCTGTGCTGCTGGATACGACGCACTCAGAGGCCTTGACCATGCAGCTACAGGCATCAGAGTCGGGAGTTGGTGGAAGCTTGTCGCTGGACTCCCATGTAGAATTGACTGCAGGGCAACTAGCGGCCTTATTGGAGGGGCTGTAGCTAGACATCTCAACACCTTGAGGGTTGACTGCCTCGATCTGCTGCTGGAGCGCACTGAAGTCCTTCAGCTTGGTAGCGGTGTCACCACTGACCTTGACGAGGCCTTGAACATGATCGTGGTCAGTCTCACCACCGATTCAAGATAATGGAGGAACCGTTTTCTGGGAATTGGAAAGGTGTAATAACGTACCGTAATCGTTTTCTTCCTCAAAGTATTCATAAACAATGCCACCGCTGAGAACTTCCGTCATGTTGTGTACGTATAGAGCGCCAGTTTCTTGGAATATGCGGCCGGCTGCGCCGTCGGGCTGGTTGCAGCCATACTCGGCAAAGAAGACTGGAACCGAGTAGTCTTGAAAGAAGCTTAAGATTCGATTGTAGCCGGAGCTCTCGAACGTTTTCTCGCCGCACCACTCGTAGACGTTGTACCCAAAGAAATCGACGGACTCTTCGGTCGGTCCGCAGTTGAAGTAGGCGGCGATCTGGTCTCTGATGTCCGCGTCGTCATCGGCAGCGTAGCCCACGCCCATGGCGCGATACTTCTTGTCCTTGATATACTTCTTTACATCTCGCACAGCGGCCTTGACGTATGCGGAAGCCGAGGTCGTGGTAGCGTTGTTGGTAACCTCGTTGCCAGCAAAGAAGCCAATGACATTCGTGTAGTTGGCAAAGGAGTCGACGACTTGCTGAAAATGCGTGAAGAGGTCTACGTTCCACTGGGGATTCTCACGATTGATCGACTGGCCCGGATTGCCGAGATCGGAAATCACATAGATGCCGGCATCGTTTAGCATTCCCATGCACGCGGAGTGATCAGCAGTCGGATCGATCGCATAGGTACGGATCACGTTGGTTCCCAGCTCGGCTAGCAGAGGGATATCACGCTTGCAGTTTGCTTCATTAGCCAGAGGATCGGTAAACTTCGTGTCGGTGGCAGTCTGTCCATTGGCAGACGAATCCTGCTGATACGCGATTCCTTTCAGGAAAAATTGAGTCCCGTTCTCGTAGAAGAATTTGGAGCCCTAAAGAGGTGGGATGAGGCGTTAGGTAACATGAGCTTGGACAAGATGACCGGTGTTTGTGTGTCATGGATGTCTTTTGTGTAGACAACTGTACCTTGATCTGGATGGGTTGGAGATCCGCACCTAGCGCGATGCGAGCACCAAACAACAACGCCAATGGGATCTTGTCGATTATCATGATGAGCCGATGCGCTATTGTCGTTCCGTAGCCGGAGCAATAAGGGATTGTTTAGATAATGCTGTACTGTAGTTTGAGTTCGCGAGTTCCCTATCGCTGTTTTCTCCGTAGGACCTGTTTCGCACTCGAAACGAGCGTGGTTTTGCGCAAAAGGATGGTATTACGAAGAAGTCGAGGCAGCGAGTGACATTTGCGATCGTGTTCAGCTCACAAATCAGAACCTTGCAAAAAGCATGTAGTAGGTTGGGAGACCGGGAATGGGGGCACTAATCCCACCGCAGAGCACGGAGACTTGATATTTATATCTTCGGCAGCCATGTTGGGCCTCACCACCACGAAGCACCGATTCGACAAGCAGCTCGTAGGGGCTAGAGTAACATTTGTAGCCCCAGATCGCAGTTCGAAGTGGCCCTTGTCCTCAGAAATCGGATTTCACTTGCGTCATCGTGGGCAAATGCGTGCAGACTCCAACGCAGAAACGCGTGGCGCGCTGCCGTCCCATTTAGCCAAAATGTTGCTGCGCCTCCGTTGGATGCTATAACTAGTATGAGGATGCCCTGCAATGCCCAAACGATGGAATAATAACCTTCATGAATATGAATCAGTGGTAACAGAGATGGTCTTGGTTTGCACAACGCGGCTTTCAAATATTACCACGAGTCCTAGTCTACTCTCTCCATGAATCTTCACAGCCTGCCGAAGTTTGCCGGTCTATCGCAACTGGCGTTGCACCTGATGTTGAGGGCTTACGGAAATAGCAGCCTAGGTAGGCTTGGAATGGGTTAATACTATTATAACTGATTGACGCAGTGGAAATGGGAGTTTCTAGATGACACGCGTAGGGAAGGTCATCGCCACGTCCAAGGTAGTATAACGCACCTACCGTCGTGACGCAAGACAAAGCAGCCGAATGCGCTGGCCGCCAGGAACAGTCGTTCCTGCTAAAGAGCGAGGCTGATGAGCAATGCAACTTGATCCAGGAACGCCGAAGGCGTCTTCGATCAAGGATTGGGTGATGAGCCAACGACGGGAAGTCAGATTTGTACCTGATTCGGCATGTCGGCAACTCGGATAAGGCGGCACTTGATCCTGCTGGATGCTTGTATTATTTGCAAGGCGGCGGAGCTAAGAAGCTCGGAGAACCGCTGGCAGCCTGATCGGGTCAGGCAACGCGAGTATCGCTGGTGACTGGGCTATAAGATGGCCCCGTGATAGCATCCGAAAGCTCCGTATGTGTCATTGTAAACTGAGACTGACCGCAAGAATACTCACGAATCATATCGACTCGCGAGACAAAATGCCTATCGAATGCACTTAAAATAGATGTATGAGATTCATCTTGCCTCATTCGTAACGCTCATGCCAAAGGGCCTCCAAAGCGCTTCCAATATGTCTCACACGCCGATTAGGTGACGAATTGTTATTTCGGCCTTCGAGCATAGGTAGTATCTAAGCGGCAAGATACCATATGAGCGGCGCGACCCATCTCACAGCGAAACCCATAATCGCTACGTTCTTTTGTGCAAATTTACGCTGAGGAAGCGCAAGGTTGCTTTATATAAGTTGTTGATGAATGCCACTGCTACGAACCTCCATTCAAGGGTAGGCTTAACTCTGTGTTCTTTAGTGGCCTTGTCTATAGGCGGAAGTCTTTATCAGTCTCTTGGGGAGAATACTTTGACAATGGGTGAAGGAGGGGATGCAAAATATCACAGAAACAGTCTGTTCGTCGAGAGTTGACTCACACGTCCGTCTTGATCAAAGCTACAGTATACAGCTCATCGAGAGCTCTTGAGCGCGAATATTACATCCTTCCTGTACCGATTCTATCACATCAGCATCCAGTAACCTGAATTAACTTCTCGGTCCGACTGGTTCCGTGATACGAGCTCTGGCGCGCGCTAATTAAGGCAGAACTATAGCATTAGTCTAGTAATAAAGCTTGCTTCTATTACTATCTGCTGTCCCCTATAGGACTTTATATATAGATATATTATATAATATATGCTATATCTCCTAGCTATTAAAAAAAAGATAATATCCTTATTATATTAACTATCTTCTTATTTAATTATATCTTATATTTTTATATATATTTTACTATATAGGTTTAAAAGTTATAAAGTGTTTTTAATAGTAAATTATATTTCTTATTTACTTTAATAGCTATTTTTTATAGCTTATTACTTATTATCTTTTATATATTAAGCTATAACTTAAGCTTAATATTTCTTTATATTATATTTATAATCTGCATTTTAAGTATTATAATTTAGTCTTTTATTTTTATAATAGTAGTTAACTTTTTAGCTAATATATTTTATTTTTTATTATTATTATTACTATTAAGTAGCTTAACTTAATTACTTAATAAGGTTATAGTAAAGAACCTTTTATTAAATATAAGTATAGTTATTTTCTTAAGCCTAGGTAGTATATATTTATTAAGTATTATAGCTTTTATTAGTATATTCTTTATTAATATTTAAGGCATTAAGCTTAATAAGATTTATAGTTTTTTATTTTTTAATAAAGTATAGCCTTAAGTGATTTTTTTTTATATAGTTATAATAGTATTTAGTTTATATTAAACTTAATAATATATTTTATATTTAGTAAGATTATAGCTAATAAGCTAGGCTAATATATAGCTAGGAATCTTTTAGTAACTTTTTTAAAGTATACTTATTATACTACTGCCTATAATTTAAATATAATATATAATATTTAAATTAATATTTAGTTTAATATAGCTATAGTATTTTTATAAACTTTATTACTGCTAATAATATAAGTGCTTAAATTAATTATAATATTTTATACTAATATAATATAGTAAAATTATTTATACTATTATATAGTTTATATTAAGTAGTTTTATTTAAGGGCCTTAGTTATTATAAGTTTAACTGCTATTATTACTAAATTAAAGTCCTTATTTATAATAAAGATAAAGTTTAAATTAAAGATATTATTATTTATATTATTAGTTTTAAAAAGCTTAAGGGTATTAGCTTTAAGACTAGGGGACTTAGTTATATTAACTTTAGTGCTAAGGGACTTAAGGGTGTTAATATTAACACTAGGGGACTTAAGGGTGTTAATATTAATACTAGGGGACTTAAGGGTATTAATATTAATACTAGGGGACTTAAAGGTATTAATATTTATTATAATACTTAGATAGCTTAAATTAAGCTTTAGAGAGGTTATTTTAAAATGCCTTATTTTTTATATTAAAGGTGGCCTTTTAAGGCCTTATATATAGGTATTTAAGAAGCTATCCTCCTTTTTATTTTATTAAGCTTTTAATATTATAATAAATTATATAATTATAGCTTATATTATAATAAGCAGATATTTTATAGCCTAAGAAACGCAGGCTAGGGAGGTGATAACTAATAAGGAATAATAAGGCTGACTAAGCTAGGAATAGTAATAGTAATATATAAGAAGGGAGACGCTCCCTAACCTAGGTAGAAAACTAAGCAAGTTAGTCCTTAAGACATAAGCCCCTAGAGTGCTTAACTAAGCTAGAACAGCTTAGTCTCTGCATAATTAAATAGTATCTTAACTTATTTACGCATAGCGGTCCTAACAGTTCACTAAGAAATGGATTCCCTGCGAGACAGTTTGGCTAAGGAGAGGTGGTGTTTAGAGGTATATAATCTAACTGTTAACAAAATATATATAAATATAACGCTTAATAAGCTTATAAGTGCATAATATATACTATTTTAAGCTTTTTATAATATACCCCCTACTTAATAAAGCTATTATAAGTGCTTTATTAAGTACTAAATACTTAATAATATAGTATTAAGCTTTTAAATAAAGGAAATATTATTTTAAAAGTATATAAAAGCTATAGTTAAAGTATTTACTATATTTAATAACTGCTTTATAATTTTTCTTATAAAAAGATTATAAAATACTATACTAGTATTATTAAAAATAATAGCTTTAATTAATAATAATAAAAATATTTACTTACTTTTTATTTAAAAAGCTTTTTTTAAGCTATATAAAAGCTTAATTTAACCTTTTATAAATACCTCTTTTTTTTATAATTATTATTATTATTATTCTTATTATTATTAATAGCAGTAGTAATAAAAATATTATATTAATTTATAAATAAAAAGTATATAAATAGTTATAAATAGCCTTATTTAAGCTTTTATTATAATTATAAGTAGCTAATAATATAATAAAAAGCTTAAAAAAAAGCCTTTACTATTACTACTACTACTTATATAGCTAGAATTATTTAATATATTACTAATACTTATACTATTATTAATACTACTAGGCCTAATAGCCTTATTATAAGTATTAGTATTAGTACTAATGCCCTTACCCCCTTTTTTTAATACCTTATACTAATACTTATAGTTAAAACTATGCTTTTTACTACTATTACTAATACTTAATTTACTATATAGTATGCTAACCTTTTAAGTTACCTGCTTTTAAAGCCTTACACCCTTACTTTATATAAGGTTTAAAAGGCTATATATAATAATAATAATAATAAGGTAAGGGTTTAAAACCCTTTATATAAAGGCTGCTTATAAAGTATTATTTTTAAAAAGGGCGATTTTACTTAATATATTAATAATACTAGGCGCTTTACTTAATATATAGTTTATAAAAGGTTTAGCTATTTTTATTTCCTTTTATAAGTCCTTAAAAACTTACTGCTTTTTAAATTTTACTTTAGCTAATATTATACTATAGCTGCCTTATTCTCCTCTCTCTTACTTATAAGTTAATAAAAGTTACTATTATTATTAAAAATAAAACTATAAGTATTATTAATAATAAATTATAATACTTAAAAGCTAACTTTTAAGTAATTAAAAAGGGACCTTTAATATATATTATACTTTTAAATTAAGCTACTAAATATTAAAGATCTAGTATATAAAAAAAAGTAGTAAAAGCTTTTTAATATAATAAAAAAAAAGATATAAAAGTATATTATAAAGGCATAAAAAAAGGTAAATACCTAAATATTCTAGGCTTAAGTATAGCTAGTTTATAATAAAGGTAATATATATAGCTAGTTTACTATTAGTATATATTATAAGTATAGCTAGTTTACTACTTCTAGTTAATTAAATAATTTATATATACTTTCCTTTAATATTTCCTTTACTTATTTATAATTATAATATTACTTATATTTACTATATTTAATAATAATTTAAAATAC